TGGTAAGAAGAAGTCGTGAGTTGAAGTGAGATACTTTCTTACAAATCGTTGAATACGACTTTAATCTTGTGCAATTCAGAAACCTCGAGCCCTCTTTAAGAATGAGAGTATCATAGATGCAAGCGCCACTGGGAGCACTAGCCCGATCGTCCTAAATCAGATTGTAAAGTGGCACAATCTCTACATATCATCGTTTATCTGGTCTGACCAATCATGTGTGTTTTTTAATCCTCACCCACTTTATTTTTGTAGGAATACAATGATGTACCAGTCAAAACTCGTGATCAAAAGTCAAACTCAACTTTTCCCACGCTTTGCGTTTCTGAAGTCAGCGATGAGGATGAGAGAAAGGAACTGTTGTCCCTTCAGGATTCCTTGGTTCCAATTGCGAAGGTACCAGTAATGAACGACAAGCCACTTATTGCGACTACTGATATTGAGGTGTTGAGTGTCAAACAAGAAGAAGTTCCATCACCGAAACACTTGGATGTGGATCAAAAAGCCTTGCATTATGAAGATTTGATCTGCTTACAAGAAATTGATATCCTTGGTCTTGAGAATCATAGTCGGTCCATTTCTATCATGCACTTACAAAAGATTGTTGAGACTTTATTGTTGATTTATAGCGTCTAATGTACAAATTAATTTGACCTATTGATTACACTTGAACAGTAACAGGCGCCAATATCCAGCCTATCACGCCTATTCAACTTAGCTCGATCAAATTAAATCCTGGTGCAAATGAGATCAAATCAGGTGTTCAGGTTTTTCAAGAAGTCCAAAGTAGGGAGAAACTCCGTGAAAAACAAAGTGAGATTCTTGTTTCAGGTACACTTTGCGTCAGTTGAATTAATCCTTATACATTTGTGCAGACATCTTTCCCAGTATGCGACCTCAAAAACCAAGTGGAAGATCTCAACAAGCAAGTCTTACGCCTTGTGAAGCAAATGAAGCACACAGAAGAAGGTCTTCAACATGCAATCGAAGCAATCAATGGTATGCTGGAGAAGAATTTGGAGGACTTAAGCAGCTCTGAAGAAAGTTCATCCTCGGCTTCTGAAGAACATTAAAACTAAATCCCCCATTTGATACATCTGAGTTCTGATGCATAATCCATCATCGCACTTTGTTGTCTACATGTCTTATTGTATTCCTTAGTATTTCATTTCTTACTTGGCTCATTTGATGTCTGAATCGGAGATAAATTAAAGTCGATATTTTGGAAAACAACAGTTTGTCAGCTGTCACAATCTCAGTCAAATAAAGCTGAATGTAAACCGGTAATGGTAAAATTTGTATGTAAATGAGTTGTTTTGTTCAGTGAGATATATTTGGAGTTGATCTATTAATTCCACATCTCACGGGCTTGTGTCAAATTCCAATACTGCTCTGGTGGAACTGGTATGAAAACCAAAATCAGCAAACAATCCTGCTCCATCAATAATGATTGAAACTTCTCAAAATTACAAATAGAATAGATCCACCAAGTCAGGTGTAATTTAGTGCTCTGGAAAACATGTCAGATCACATTTAATTCATCTCATCAACAGGTAATGCCTTGATATATTACATAGTGTGAAGTAGACATTGGCTACTTAGCACATTTGCCTAATCTGGGTCAACTTTTTTGCTTAAATAAATTTACCTAATCCAGTTAGAAAACTTTTTTTTTGTAGTGTCAAACAACTTAGCTATCTTTTATTTCTTAATCTGTGCCTTTTGGGTATGGTCAGACTAGTGGAACTACCTGATGGTACTAAAGAAGGAAAACCACAGTGGTTATAATCAGTCCTGGGTGACAATGCCATATGGCCTTCAAACAACATATACCACATCATCAGTATGGACAGAGGAGCAAAGAACACTAAGGCAGGTGTTCCCCAACCTCTCCTCCTCAATGTGTAACATCAACTATGGCCAGTGCAAGAAGTTTTAGTAAAAGCATTAACCACTAGCCACCCTGGGTCACATTATCTATCTACCAATATCACAAGAACACTAGGATAAATCTGACTTGATCTGTCTTCATAGCTAGGTGTAACCAGATATGGAGAACTCACTGTTGAGACTCTATTTCAGGCCACTCCTTCAGAGCAGGTGGTGCCTCATTACTGACAGCACTAGGACGGGTATCACATGAAGACATTAACTCATCAGGGAGATGGACTTCTAGCTGCTACCAGCTCTACCTACATGATTATCTTTTGGAAGATATGGCAAAAACCATCTCAATTATATAAATCTTAAACAGCACAACCTGTCAGTAAACACTTTGATCATAAGTGTGGGTTTAGCTCAGGCTCAGGCTTATTGATAAAACCAAGTTATGGGTATATCACTGACCCCCCATTTTGCTCTTTCCGCTTACCTTTCAGTATTTTATTGGTGTCAGGACTTCCTTGTCCTATATTATAATTTTGGACCTCAACATCACAAGGCTACTCATTTATGTTCCTTTTACACCATAACTGGTTTAGGAAGACCCCCCACCCAAGCACTTGTATTACACTACACAAAATGTAATCTTTACCGGGCGGTAAAGAAAACTACTGACATAGAAAAATCCTGACGCAACAGGAAGAGAGCTAAAAATCTGAAAAAATATGCACCTTGTTCCTAGATGTTGGGTCGTCATGATGAGTATTTTTTTGTATTTTACACACAGATATTGGTTGATGTACTAACAATAAAGGCTAAAGATCATCAACAACCCACCTGTAACAATACCTGAAATTTGGGTCAGAATAAGACAATAATTTGTGGTCTAAAACCTTCAATAACTTTTGCAATTCTGCTCCAAATGACTTGATTTTTTGGTTCATTCAAAAGCTGAACCATTCTCCTTTAAACTTCATAAAGGTAGTAAGGTGTTATCTAGTCATGTAAACACTCTACATATGTTCAAACAGCTCTGAATAAATAGCTCTGTAGGATCTTTTGCAGACCGGCTACAGATGTGATGCCTCAATGATAAATGTAGAGGAAGGACCCACCTTTTTGATGAACTGAAAATCAAGTGATTTGATTCTGAAATGCAAAAGTTGTTGATGTTTGAGAATTTCAAAATCCTGTCTTCAAAATCATGGGCCAAATTTCAGGTATTGTTACATGTGGGTTTTTGATGATTCTCAGCCTTTATTGTTAGTACATTGAACAATATTTGTCTATAAAATACAAAAAAAATACTCATCATGACACCCCAACATCTAGGAACAAGGTCCATATTTTTTCAGATTTTTAGCTCTCTTCCTGTTGCCTCAGGATTTTTCTATGGCAGTAGTTTTCTTTACCGCCCGGTAAAGATTACTTTTTGTGTAGTGCTAGCATACATGTGTACACTTAGCAACACAGCAGTAATACTACAGGAATGAAACAAGTTAGATGCATAAGCTCAAAAATCAATGTGTATCATACTAAGTATAATAATCAGTGGATGAATAAAAATAATCCACACTATCACTGAGTGATAGCATACTAAGTGACACCCATAAATGAGTCTGTCAAGAAAGGAGTGTAAGAATGGAATGGAAAGCTTGATCCAAAATGGCACATGGAGAATCAATTGGATTGGGTCATGAAATAATTCCTTGGGATTACAACTCCTTTCAAACCCAATGAAAATTTGGAAGTCAGATTCCTACAATTCTTTCTGAAAAGATCAAAATCTAGACCTCCAAAAGAACAAAATATTGTAGCATGCATTACAGGATTTGAGAAGGACCATGATTCCAAGTGAGAAAGAAAGTTAGTTACTTCAGCCCCAAATCATTTCAATCAGTCAAGATGATCTCTAATCCAGAAGAAGATTGTCTAAAGCTTCTGATCTTCAAATTTGTCATGACCAAAGCAAATGAAGATGAATTTTTATTTGGGGGCCATTTGTTGAATGTTGGAAATTCTTTGATATGAAAACTGATACAAATAAGCAATACCACTTAAGACTTAAAGTGGATATAACCTGGTGAGAATCAAGTTATCAGCTCAATGAAGCTGAGAACTGATCGAACAACTGATGAGAACAATACCTGGTGAGAATCAAGTTATCAGCTCAATGAAGCTGAGAACTGATCGAACAACTGATGAGAACAATCTGATGGTAAAGAAGATTGAGAACAAAAGTATGTTTGAGTTCGATTTCATCAATATCCACAACACTAACACGACACAACTTACACCTGGTGAGAATCAAGTTATCAGCTCAATGAAGCTGAGAACTGATCGAACAACTGATGAGAACAATACCTGGTGAGAATCAAGTTATCAGCTCAATGAAGCTGAGAACTGATCGAACAACTGATGAGAACAATCTGATGGTAAAGAAGATTGAGAACAAAAGTATGTTTGAGTTCGATTTCATTAATATCCACAACACTAACACGACACAACTTACACCTGGTGAGAATCAAGTTATCAGCTCAATGAAGCTGAGAACTGATCGAACAACTGATGAGAACAATCTGATGGTAAAGAAGATTGAGAACAAAAGTATGTTTGAGTTCGATAAAGGAAAAAGCTAAAAGTAAAGAAACGTATAAGCTTTATATAAGGAAATCAAACATTATGACATCATATCACCTTTACAATAACAGGTGTATAATTGATGTAACAAAGAAATCATGATGAGTTAATAAGCCTTATGATTATGATCTCAATTTCCCCCCGTCTTTGCTACATCCTGCAAACCTAGCAATGAACAAAATCTTTGATGTTTGATTGGTGTCAAAGCCTTGGTAAAAATATCCGCTAACATATTTTCTGTCAATACGTATTCTACCTTCATTTGATCATCTGCCACCAATTCCCTAAGCCAATGATATTTAACATCGACATGTTTTGTTCGTGATTTAAATTGTTCATTCTTGGTCAATGCAATTGCCCCCTGGTTATCTAAATTCAAAACCGGAGCAGAGTGTTGCTTAATTGATAAATTGTTTAATAAATGTCGAAACCACACCAAATCCTGGCCACCTTCATACGCAGACCGATACTCAGCTTCAGTTGTTGACGTAGCTACATTTTCCTGCTTCTTACTCTTCCAATTAACCGTGCTATCACCAACCATTGTACAGTATCCTCCTGTTGATCTTCTTATATACGGACATGAAGAAAAATCAGCGTCTGCATATCCTTTCAATTCTAAATCTTTTCCCCCTAATACTATTCCAACTGTCTTCGTCCCTTTTGAATATCTTAATACTCGCTTGAAGGCTTGCCAATGAAGAATTGAAGGATTGTTTAGATGCTGAGACAATTGAGAGACTACAAAGGAAATGTCCGGCCGCGTAGCATTATTAAGATACATTAGTTTTCCAACACCGTGCCGATAATTTTCATCTAAATCCTTAAATTCTCTAACTTCATCATCTGATCCTGGCAGTAAATAACTTCCAGGAATCATTGGACACCCTACTGATTTACAATCCGCCATGTTGTACTCCTCTAATAGATTTTGAATATATTGAGATTGCGTCAGAGTGATTGTTCTTTCTTCTCAATTTTGTGTCACCTTCATTCCTAAAATGTACTTATATTCTACATCTTCATCCATTTGGAACTTTTGAGTGATGAGACTTCGAAATCGTTGAAAATCATCTGTCGCAATTGTTAGATCATCAACATGTACGTGCACAATGCATTTCCACGTAGGATCCTTTGAAATGAATAGACTAGGATCCGAGGTAGAAGGAATGAGTTGAATTGAAATGAAAAATGCTCTTAAGCAATCATACCACACTTTCGGCGCTTGTTTTAAACCGTACAATGCTTGCTTTAATTTTAAAACTGATGTTAAAGTAGCACCATTCACAGTCAATCCTTTTGGAATTTTCATGTAAATTGTTTCCTTAGGACTTCCATTCAGAAATGCGGCCACAGCGTCCATCTGATACACATCTAAATTTTCCAAAGCAGCCATGGCGTTGATTGCTCTTAATGTGGCTATTCGTCCTGTCGGTGCAAAGGTTTCGTTGTAATCTTCTCCATATTCTTGTGAGAAGCCTTGTGCACACAATTGGGCTTTAAATTTAATAAGTTCACCATCACCCCCCATCTTCTTCTTAAATACCCACGTGGTTCCCACAGCATTCTTTCCCGCTGGCAAATCACACACTTCCCACACCTTTCGTCGTTCCATGTTTTCCAGCTCATTGTCAATTGCCTTCTTCCAATCAAACTGATTGTCGGATTTCAACGCCTGCAGGTAAGTCTTTGGATCTATACTCACACCTGCCACAGCTGTAGTTTTCATCGCACGTTGAGTTAGATGAAAACCGGGTGTAAAGGCCGTTCGAAGAATCATGCTAGAATCAATCAATTTGTGTTCATCTTCATAATTCTTGACTTGAAGACGAATTGCCTTAGCTCGTAATTTTCGAGCAGTGTGAGCACGTTGACGTTGAGCAAGATTAGCTCGATGTCTTTTCACGCCTGGTTCCAGAATGTTGGACTCTTCGATGGCGCTAGAAATGTCCTGTGGCGCAGGAATCGACAGTGGCTGCCACTCCCATCCTGGTCGTTTCTGAAGAACAACCGGATTAACGGGTGACAACTGAATCTGCAAGTTTTGTTGAGAAGGACGTATGACAAGTTGACCTGGAGGTGTCGACGGTGGAGAATCTAGTTCCATTGGAATTATTGGTGGCACCGGTAGATCTGGTACCACTTCAACCTGCATAGGAACTCCTGAAGGTACATGCACCAATTGATCTGTTGGCGGCAATGCTGGTTCTATCATTCTTGACGATGGCATCGGTGGAATCACAGGCTCGAATGGTAGAACTGGTGAAGTTGCTGATTCTAAAACCCCTGAGGACGGTAGATTCAGTAAAGGCGCTTCTGATTCAGAGGAAGAAGTGACTATGTTATCGTTGAACACTTCCACAAAACCTTCACCTTGCTCTTCATTGTTGCCGACTCCGGGAAAAGAATTGACATTAAATGTAACGTCATGTGAATAAACCGTCTTGCCATTTTCAAGCCTAACTCTATAGTTCTTCATGCCTAATTGATAACCAAGTAAAATTCCTTTAAATGAAGTGTCATCAAATTTCCTTCGAAATTTCTTAGGAATTAGGACATAAGCACGACAACCGAAAGGTTTCAAACAATTTACGTCAAATGGTCGATTAAACCACAATTTGTAAGGCATTTGATTGTCAATCTTCGTCATCGGAGTAACATTCTCTAGGAAAACAGCAGTTGCAACGGCTTCTCCCCAAAATGATTGAGGCAAATTTGAATGCTTAAGCAATGTTCTGGCTTTCTCAGTCATAGTCCTATTGCCACGTTCAGCAACAGGATTTTGTTGAGGTGTATAAGGGGCGCTTATGTAGGAAGTTGTCCCATTCTCAGAGAGCATTTTGAGAAAAACTTTTGACATATATTCTCCGCCTCCATCATTAACTAAACTCACTATCTTTCGATTATGAAAAGTTTCCACTTCCGCTTTAAACTTCATAAAGTACGAAAACGTCTCATCTTTAGATTTCATGATGTAAACGTACTTATAATTAGTGTAAGCATCAGTAAGTTTAAAATAATAATGACAACCTCCCTCAGAGACAGATGATATCTTGCCACTAAGATCACTATGCACAACTTCTAATGGAAAAGTCGCTTTAGGAAGAGAGTTTGAATAAGATAATCGATGTCCTTTTGAAATTGCACACTCCTCACAAAACCAGTCATCCGGAGATCTCACACCATACATTACATTCAATCGGACTGGATTTGTATGTCCGGATTGTCTGTGAAGCGTAGTATAATCAGATAACGTGACACTGTTGCAAGTAGCGGAATATGACGTACCAATGGCGATGCTGAGTTCGATGACTCGATTTCGGACTTGGCCAGTAAGACAACCGGTACCTTCTTTTGTCATTAGAATGACTCCTTTATCATGAGAAAGATTATACCCGTCTTCTAACAAACAACCCATACTGATGAGGGAGTTTCCAAGTTCGGGAACGTGATAGGCGACAAGAACCAGTTTGGTCCCGAAAGATGTAATGACAATCCTCCTTTGCCGGCAATGTGAATTGAGTTACCGTCAGCTAAGCAGACTTCCGATGCCATAGATTCATAATTTTTAAATAATTTTTGATCTGACACCATGTGATCAGAGCACGCACTATCTAATAAAATAGCAGCACCCGGAGATTTAGAAAGGCATGATAAAGCTGAGGTTTCAATAACATCATCAAGATACAATCGTTGAAGTATTGCTGTTGTCGCTCTAGTTCGTGATGTTTGTGAACGAGAATTAGGTTGACGTGGTGGTTGCCGTAAATGTGGCCTTTCCACCCAACATGCGTCCGGCAGATGATTAGTTACGGCTGGATTATGTTTACCGTTGGTACATCAAGGATATGAATATCAAGCAGGAGCAGCAGTGGTGGTCGTCATCAGAGCGATTGAACTGTCCTCTCGATGTTGTTCGGTGAAATCCACTAGATGAGCATCTAACATGGTCAAGACTGTCTTACAGGAAAGTTTGCCTGACTCTGATTGTTTGGCCGTGATGAGTGACACAACAGTCTCCATGGAATCCGGCAGTTTGAAGATGATTCCTTCACACAACAGCGGTTCAAGAATTGGATTCGTCGTTGCACATCCGCATGCTTCCATTAACGACATTCCTTTACGGACATCCTTGATATATTGAGCAAGGGTAACGAAAGGAATTCATAGAAAGTTTCGGCAAGCTCGTCCTTGACTATCGGCACTAGTCGATTGAAACTTCTCTTTCAAGTGCTTCCAAATACCGACTGGATTCGATAAGAGCCCTTCTGATTCAATTTGAATTCGAAAAGGTTCAGTCAAGTAACTGTACATAATACCGGCGGCTTTGTTTTGACGGGTGACATAAGCTTCAAAGTTAATCTTTTCCTCTCCTGCAATAGCTTGAGCAACAGGAGTATGATTAGGAACAAGAAATTCCTGGAGTCCGTGAGACATCAGGTAACCTGTAATGTCGCCTTTCCACTCCGTATAGTTGTCATTGTTAAGTTTAACGATGTGAATCTTGGTATCACTTGACATGACAAAGTTGGATGTATGCGTAGGTTTTTGAATTTGTTTGTGTTCGATAGACTTCTTAATGAAGTTCAAAGATATGAAGATGATGATGGCGGTAGCTAGTCGCAAGAGCGCTGGGCTCATAACCACTTAAAGTGGATATAACCTGGTGAGAATCAAGTTATCAGCTCAATGAAGCTGAGAACTGATCGAACAACTGATGAGAACAATACCTGGTGAGAATCAAGTTATCAGCTCAATGAAGCTGAGAACTGATCGAACAACTGATGAGAACAATCTGATGGTAAAGAAGATTGAGAACAAAAGTATGTTTGAGTTCGATTTCATCAATATCCACAACACTAACACGACACAACTTACACCTGGTGAGAATCAAGTTATCAGCTCAATGAAGCTGAGAACTGATCGAACAACTGATGAGAACAATCTGATGGTAAAGAAGATTGAGAACAAAAGTATGTTTGAGTTCGATAAAGGAAAAAGCTAAAAGTAAAGAAACGTATAAGCTTTATATAAGGAAATCAAACATTATGACATCATATCATCTTTACAATAACAGGTGTATAATTGATGTAACAAAGAAATCATGATGAGTTAATAAGCCTTATGATTATGATCTCAATTTTAAGCACCTTATTCTCTCTATTTTGTTTCAAAATCTTGACAAATTGGTGTGGGTGATATATTTGGGAATCTAGACTGAGGCCATCTGTGGCAAGTGCATCCTGGAAGTACCATGAGGTATTGGGAAATTATCGTGTGAAAGACTTTGCAACATAAATCTTACATTGCATAAATCTACATTATTGTGCCCTTGTACCCATCCTCTTGTTCACGATTATAGTGTCATTGTATACCTCATGACATTGAGAATTGTACATTTATGCCGACGTCCAAGTATGTAGGGTTTACACACCATCTTTTACAGCGGGCTTGCCCACCTATACTCTAGTCATAGTATGTACATTATAGCAGCTGAACATATATACAACCACCGGCTTTGAATATTTTCCACTTTCGGCCCAATTTCACATTATAAGCCTGTTCATATTTTTCACCTTTGACAAAGCCTTGCTTGATTGAGGAGCTGAGTGCCGGAGTTGCGCACCGGAAATATGTGGAGCGTGCGTACCCGGAATTGCATGATTGCTATGTCAAAAGAAATGGAGCAATTTTGAGTCGAGCTGAGTTAGAGTGCAATTTGATTGATGAAAATGCAAGCCTACCTCAGGCCTCTGAACCATCAAAAGGTTCGTGAAGCGAATGTATAAGGAAATCCGGAAGTAATCAATAGATATTTATTAATTCGAGCGGCACACCGGAGAGCTCTCAGACTCGCGCTTTGGTGAATCTTGAGAAGAGCGCATTCTTAGATACTGGGAGTTGAGGATATCCCGTTGATTGGGTCAGACAGGCTTCTTGAAAACCGAATCGAGACTGTAGAGACGCCTTTCCTGCAATCCTTCATACGTATAAAATGTGGCAGTTCCCCGTCTTCCTTGCCCCATCTGCTCATATCAAAGACTTCTAACTGAACAAAGACTTCCAATTCCATCAATTCAACCAATCCACCTTCCAATCAAACCTCTACCATGAAGACCTCTACCCTCTTTTTATCTACGCTCGTCATCTTCGCCGGCCTATTGTCAAATGCGCTGGCAGTGACGTGGTCCTCGAGTGAGAGAGCTTATATTGACTATGCAACCTTTCATCTCCTTACCGATGTTTTGTTTATCAGATTTTGCTCAAGCAGACATCAACACATTGACCCCTCTCCTGAAGAACATGCAAACTTATCTATCATCCGAAAAAGTGGTTGCATTTGGTGAAACAACAGTGATTTACACTAAGCAAGGTAAAGAATAAATATCAAAACCTTGAATCTTTGTTCTACAAACCTAATCGAGTTGGTTCTACATACTTATCAGACTTCATAGATGCCTTTGCAAGCTACAAAGAATTTGGTAAACTGAGCTTCAACTTTAAGTCAGGTAATTGCCCCCACACTTTTATGCGATTTCTTTATTTGCTACGTTAACACATCTGATCAAATCATATAGCCAAACTTCTTAGCGCTCGTTCCGCTTCTTCATATCAAATGACTGTGGACGGAGGCATCAGCACATCCTTTGGAATTCCGATCACTTTCAATGCCAACATCATCTTCACGGGTGCACATCCAGTAGCTGGTGAGGTTAAGTCTGCGATCTTCACCATCAATATTGGATGATGATTTTCTTCGCTTTATGTACTGTTTTGTAACTTTATCTCTGTCTGTCTTTGTTAATTCTTTCATATTTTATGGACCTTTTGCTTCATTTTGCATTTTTCATCAGATTTGTCACAATTATTTATTCCTGAATACGGACGATGCTTATTGATTGTCAGCTTCATATCCTGTTTGCAGCAAAGACTCATACATTGATTTCTCTATATAAACAATTCTCATTTATTGTCCTGATCATGATCTTTTTGAAAGGAAAGACAGATCAATCTATACACTAGCAGCACCTTAACACATACCACTTTAGCATCAATTGGAAGATCATAATTCTACAAGCTTTGATTTTGAGGGATAAACTCCAAGGAAGGCTGTGATCTACCCGCCCAAGAATGATCAGGCGAAGGTTCTGAATCCATCAAGTCATCTATGTTCCTACATATGTGATCTCTCGGTGATAGCCTTTCTTTCTCATATAAGCGACTTGAAGTCATACTATGCCTTTTTTTTATTTTCTTTGAGGAATTTTGCTACATATCAACTTGAACTATTTGCAGGTTTTGAAAATCAAATATTTCCAACTTTACTCCTTGAACTTCCGCTGTAAAACATCCTGTAGAGAACCTGGTCAAACCATCCTGGAGACCTGCTCACAAAGGGATTAAACACCTCACAAGCTTGAATGATCCGTATATAGCTTAATCAGTATGTACAACGAAATCCAAAGCATTTGCAACCATAAAAAAACTGATGAAATCCATTCAAGACCTTGTACTCTTACGACGTTTTGAAGTCTTTAGCCAAACTGTAGTTTGTAAATCGAAAAGGGTATGTGTGTGTGTGTAAATCCAAGAAAATGACTAAAAATTGTAAGTAAAGTGTGAATAAAATTTAACTAAGTTCAGAATCAAGTGACGTATTCGATTCACTATCATTCTCAATTCCAGAACAGAACCATCACTCCATCACCATCAACGAAACAAAACAAAACAAACTCATCAGAACAAAGCCAATCAGAACAAAAACTAAAGAAACCACAATCAGACATCAAACCTAAGACCAAAGACTCAAGATCGAAAGAATGTCGTAAGTGAGACAGACCTACGAAAGCCGACAGATGAATGCGAACCATCCTTACCACGTTTTTCTTTTGCCCAGATCCATCGAAACCAATCCGAACCCAAACCCAAGCGGAGGAAATGCCGATGAAGATGATTTAAAACCATCTCAAACAGCTGGATATAACCCAGGCGTAGCTAAAACCTTAGACGAATATGCTCAGTTAGATGCCGAAGATGAATCATTAAGAAAATGGAAAGAATCACTTGGAATCGTAGCCGGTGCTGCTTCGAGTGCGAAACCTAGTGTTGAGTGTTTTGAACAATCTAATCTAATCTAACCTCTTACTAACTAACTCTTTTGGAAATTTTAAATCTCTCTTTTTGACTTCTTTCTATCTATGTGTGATAGTTAAAAATTCATTCCTTATCACTTCATTCTCCTACACTTAAACAACCGATCATCATGGATTTAACTAACCCTGAAAACTTGATTAAATTTAAAAAAGATCCAATCACCATCAAAGAAGGTATCGAATATTCAGTTGAGATTTCATTTAAAGTAGAAGGTGGTGTAGTTAGTGGAATCAAATATTTACAAGTCGTCAAACGAGCTGGTGTTAAGTTAGATAAGGTCAATCATCAATTTCCTTTTCCTTTTCTTTTGACTTTTGGATCTGGGCTTTTTCTAATCTTTCATGTGTGTGTGTTTTTGTTTCGAGTTTAGCTTGAGTCTATGATCGGTTCGTATGGTCCTTCTAATGATTTACATGTGAAACGATTTGTCAGTGAAGAATCACCTAGGTAAGTGGTTCTTATGATTGGTCTCTCAGATCATCAAGTGCTCGATCGATTCACTTCACTTTACAAAGTCATCACTGATCATTTCGTTTCATGGTCTGATATTGAACTCTGTAGTGGAATGTTAGCTAGATCTGGTAGTTATTTAGCTAGATCTCGAGTCATTGATGATGATGGTACAGTTTGGGCTGATTTCGAATGTAAGACTCTCATTCTGATTTGGTCTCACAACTTTAACACCCTACTCAACACTTTTTTTGTTTGGATCGTTCCTCTAGGGTCATTCAAGATCGGTAAAGAGTGGTAAACACTACAAACTCTAGTCTTTTGGTTTCCTTTCTTTTCCTTCCTCATGCTCCTGTTTCCATCAAATTACAATCTTAACTCTTTTTCTACTTTTTCTACTTTTTTCTTTTTCTTTTTCGAGTTGATTGAAAGGGGTTTTTTTCCAAAATGATGGTCAAGTCCAAACTCGTTCATCGTTTTTTAAACCCTTTCTTTTAATGTGGCTGTGTGTGTGGTGTGTTGGTTTTTTGAGTTGCTTTAGATAAGATTTTTATTTTCAAAAAAGGGATTTTGGGAGGATTACATTGACAAAGAAGATGAAGATGAAATGATCAAGTAGTTTGGATTTCTTAATCCAAAGCTTCTGATCTGAATGATTTCAATTCATTCCTTTTTTGTTCTTGATCTTTTTTTTGCTTTGCTTTGGTTCAGAAATGTTTAGTTGATGGGTAGTTTTTTTTTGGTTTGAATTTCAATTTTGATGAATTGTTTTTTTTCTTTTTTCTTTTTGAGTTTGGTGTTAAACTTGTTTTTGGTTTGGAATTCTCAATGATTGAAAGAAATCGATTGATGAATTGTTTAGCTTTTTTTTGATTTGAATTGGTTGGGAGCAGCTCAGCCTCAGCAGTGTGGTAAATATGATGTTTGCTTGTCCATTTGCTTTTCAATGGGATGCATCGGAAGGTGTGGATGAGTGTTAAGTGTTAAGTGTTAAGTTGGTCTTAAGTATGACTTTGACTTGGTCCTAGTTGTGAAATTGAAAACGATTTTTGAATTTGTTCAACTTCAACTTCTTCAAAATGGTAAACTCATCCACTTCACTCATCAAATCAAACAAAATACTAATCAAAGTGGTGACTGTTTCCTTTTGAATTCTAGTTAAATTCATTTCGATCAACTCTAAGAAAAACAAAACTAATTCAACCAACCAACTTGAGATCATCTTCATCAAAACCTCAAATCGATTCATTCAGAAGATATGCAACTCAAGCTCCAATCTCACACCAAGCTGAATCAACACCAGAATCAAAACTAAAACCTACACCAGAATTTTCAAACAAAATTGAAGAAATCGTTAAATCTATCAGTCAATTAACTTTAATAGAAGCATCTGAATTAGTAGATGCATTAAAAGTAATCGCTCAACCCTCCAAACAGTCTAACCCAAGTCTAATCAAGCTGTTTTGATTTTTTTGTATAGACTCGATTGAATATCACTGAGATTGCTGCACCGATTTCTCATTCAGTAAACGAATCTAAACCGATCGAGTCTCAACCTTCTACACCAATCGAAGCTGAAAAACCAAAAGAAAAAACTACATTTAACTTAACTTTAACCAAGATTGATGCTACTCAAAAAGCTAAAGTGATTAAAGAAGTTAAAACGATTATGCCTAATATGAATTTAGTAGAAGTAAGTTAACCTTCGATCACTTGAATTTTTTCATATACACTTTTTGTTCAAAAGATGTGTCTTTGGGGGATATGATGGGTTATGGAAATTGATTCTTTTTTTTTGACGGTTCGGTTTTTTTTCTAATAGGCTAAAAAATTTGTTGAAAGTTTACCAAAGGTGTTAAAAGAAAATGGAAGTAAAGAAGAAATTGAGAAATTAAAGAAAACTTTAGAATCGATTGGAGCTACTGTACAATTAGATTAAATGAGATTAAATTAGGAAATCAAAAAAAAACCAAAATTAAAACAATAGAATTCTGGGATTCTTTTCAATAAACAACACCTTTGATTTTTATAATCGAATCCAGTTTATTGAATGATACAAATTTTCAAGGTATAGTTAAAGTTCTGGATTCATAGGAATAGAACGGTGAGGGTTTAAAGTGTCTTTTGGGACGATTCGATCGGTGTATCTGTTCTAGAAGGTTACGTGACTCGAACATTTCGATTTCGATTTCGATTTCACATTTGATCTTGTTCAAGTTTTGCAGCTCACATACCAGATGACTTCTTTTGACTTCGATGAAAGGCCTGCAGTAATTATTCAAACACATTATCTAATTAAACACACACCTTGGATTGTTAAATCCAAGGCCTTCTATCTACAGTTTGGCAGACCGTAGAATTCCACAAAGTATTCACTCAAAAACTTTGATGTTAAGTGCCAAATAGTAGCAAAACAGCATTGGATTTGGGGGGAAAGGTGAGCTGGGTTTGAGAAGATCAAGAATGCTAGCTGCTCGCCGTCCAAATTTAACCAAGACCATGTTATCCAGTACCCCAAACTGTTAATACAGCATGTTTGACTGAGAATATGCAATCTTGACCAATTGCCAAACTTTCTGATTGAGGTCAAGAACAAGTCCAAGTTGACTCAAAGTGTATACCAAGGGCGCGTTCACTTAAGGAATTTCTGACCAGAAACCACATTCTGTAAATTTTTTAATGCAAAAATGAAACATACACCACCAAATAGACACTTTAAATTTTGCAGAATGTGATTTCTCACCAGAATTTGCTTAAGTGAATGCGCCCTAAGGGTATGTTCACTTAATTAAATTTTGCAGAATGCAGATGTTTGACTAGAAATTGCTTAAGTGAATGCTCCCTTATATACTTTCCACTGATAGGTTCTATTTAGTTGATTTCAATCAAAGCTTAGGTCAATAGCAATTTAACTTTATGAGTCCTCACTCAAAAGGACAAATTTAACAGGAAGGTGAAGGATGGGGAAGCTTGAACGGAGTTGAGGGACTGGAGAGATATGTTGTGGTTTCTGACTGATGTCTAGAGCTACTATGTATACTATTGGTTTCCTGGTTCCAAAGGATATTCAGTCTTAGACCAAACTACCATACCACAGGTGGTTCAGAAGTCAATGACCTGGCTTGCATGCCATGACCAGTGAAAGGTGGACCACAAGAAAGGTCTACAGACCAGTTTTTGATACAACTTTCCAAGTTTTGGTACAGTGAGAACACACTTCTCACTGCCCAGCCAGATCATACCAGACCATTCAGGTCAGGTCTCTCACAATCTCATCCACAAGCCCTTCAGATCTATTACACCACCATTCAGAACTTAACAGAGAAAGTTTCCCAGATGAAGCTTTTGATCATCTACCTTATGCTTGTCCTAAAAAATGCTCAACAAACTTGAGGTGGACTGGAGCCAGAAGTTGTAGAAGATGGAAGTATACTGTATGAGTTTGTGATACTCTTTAGTTTTTTTTTGTTCTGAACACTTGTTACCTTGGATTTTTATATTTGGTTTTCTAAACAAGATAATTTTACTCATCACTTGATATATTTTAATCAAGTATCTCATTTTATATGTTTTGTTTTTCTTGGGAATGAAGATACTTTTTCTCTACATCATTTCTTGATAACAAACTAGGTCTTTATTGTGCTAAGAAACCATAAAGACCTAGTTTGTTATCAAGAAATGATGTATAGTTTTTTTTTCCTCATTTTTTAGTCTTACATATTCTTGGTGTTCAACATAAAAACTTGTTATATACAAATATTGTGTAATGTCCTAATGATTGCACTTTCCAACAAAAGAGAGAAAATGTAGTGTGGTTGAAAGGACTTGATCCATCATGTGTTTTGGAGAAAATGCTCATTTTTCCACCTTTGGTACCAACACAATCTTATGTCAACTAAATGATAGCTTCTGCTTTTATTTTACCTGGCTGCTCAGGCAAAAACATTCATAGCACACACTCAATATGACTTCCAATATACTTCAAATCACTTTGAACTTGACTGATTTTTGATGTCTACACTGCTTGAGAAATCTGGACTCATTTTCAAACTTTTAAAATATCACAGGTTTCACAAGATCCCTCATCTTATTTCAGGGGAAACACGCTTCTAGTGACTGATCTATGCAGTATACATGCACAAATAAAGTGATCAAAAAGAAATTGAGCCATCTTAGTTAAGCACAAAAGCAGGAACTGTTATTAAATACCCAGTCTCAAACCAAACCCGGTTGCCAAAAAACCCGGTACACCTGGTGGACTATTTGGCTGGGAGGTGTCAAAAATTTCAACTCAATACACAAAGTTACCGCCAAAAAAGCCACTGGGTGTACTGGGTTTGGTTTGAGACTGGCTAATGTATCACAGGTATATTATTTTTCACATTAACAAGCATTTAAAGTAATCACACTTATTGTTGTAGCAAGCTTTGAGTACAAAATGAATTTTGTGATGAATGAGGAATACAAAGATATTCAGAAGAGATCTCAAATCTGGCAAAAAGCAGCTTCATGTGCATTTTTATGAGCTCAAACATGTGTGTTGAGGTCATGTGAAATGGGTCACAAATTTAACAAGACTTCAATTTTGGCACATTACCCACTGTCTGTTTCTGTGAATCTTGGTAATTCTCGTTCATTTTTTTCTATAACATATGAACTTGACCTCAATATTGAAATTTAAACCAACGGGAAAATGGAGTTTCATTATAAGACCTCAAAATCATCTGGAAGACCTTGAAATTATCCTGATCTGTGTTGAATGATTTTCTCCACTCTCCCAAGAGATTCAGGACTGGATTTACAGAGATCACCTTTGTATGGGAGGCCTTCATCACACTGTGAAAGTATTCAGCAACAGATTTCAAGTCTGAATTCAGCATCACCTGTTTTTCAAATTTTGCCAGGGATTCTCCAAGGAAGAGAATCTCCAGAGGTAGTGATTTCCATAAGGAGAAATAATTTTTGAAGAAAGTCCAGCCGCTAATGAGAATAGGCTCAATATCCCAATCCAAGTTGTGTTCTTCATGTACACACTTGATTATTCCAAAGAACCCTTCCACTACAGTGATCTTCACAACACTAACAGCATTGAGCAAAAGATTTCTGAAATGCATCAATTCTCCTTTGGTGAGGTTTATCTTCTCATCAGTTAATTTCATTGTCATATCTTTTTTCAGGTTTGCAAAATAACTCTCTGTGTCCTCAAAGATACTATCAAACTCATCCATACATTCTCTACCTTTTCTTGAAATGTGACGGTTATATTTGTAAGATCTTTCCCGACGTGAAGGCTCCAGCTTCAGTGATTTTTTTACTGGTTGGGTGACTGGTCTTTTCTTCTCTTTGATATATGGCAAAGTCATTCCATATATAGCACTAGTGAATTCACCCAGGGGTACTTCAGCAATTGATGGGAATTTTTGACACTTCCACTTGTGCCAAATATTGTGATATAGTTCTATTCTTATGTTTCTTTTTCTATCAACCAAAAACAGAGACATGAACACTTCCAACGGACCAGATGAAATGTCAATAGCTGGGATGATTTTCTTTGTCAAATGTGGTAAATTCTTCATAACTGATGCAGACACATGGTCCAGATAGCTTTCAATGAACTCTAATCCCTCATTCAGTAGCTCCAAACCACCTGGAGGTTCAATCAATTGTAAAAGACCTAGGAATCCCATAATAATCCCAGAGTCCACTTTTTTGATGGCATTCAGCAAGAATGTTGGACTTCCACCACTTGAAGGACCAGAAACGTCCAAGGCATTTATGAAATTTACAAGTCCTTGTTCCCATTTCCTAAACCATTTTTTGTTATGAGAATATACTTGTAAATCTGACTTTATGCAGCTCATTCCCATGTCTTGAATTGTTTGCACCATCTCCCTGCGTGATATGCCACCATAGGTGTGCTTATAGACAACTCTGCTATTTTCCTTGATATGTTTCATCAATTTAATTTCACGCGGAGAAAGTGTGAGAACATTCTGTACACTTTTCCTTGGAAGTTTATTTCTGCCCCCATCAAACCTCTTTTCAACTGTGTCTGTTGATTTTCTTTTGGATGATCTAAATAGTTGGGGAGCCTCTAAGAAATCTTGTGATTCAAATGAGTTTACTTCACTCATGTGAGCCGTCCTGAAATTTTGGCCTATCTCTGGTAAAAATTCTTTGTTTCCAAGGGGAAAATCTCCAATGAAATTCTGTCTCTGTGGATAATTGTAAGGATTGTTTGTGTTTTCACCAGTTGTATGTTGCCTCACCTGCTGATGTGTATTGTGAAATGTTTTTGGGGGCATATTGTGACCAGCCATGCAGAGAGGTGAATTTTTGTACAATAACAGAGATTCAGGATTTTTGTGTGTATTGCTTGGCATTGAAAATATTTCACCTAGCCCAAAATCTCTATTGTTTGAATTGGGGGTGACTTGTGATCTAGCAGGGTATTTCCCAAACATTGTTGTGTATTCTCCAAGAGAGCTTGTGTATTGTGGGATGTCAATGTCCAAATTTCCTTTCTGGACCATTTCATGCTCTGAGGGAGTTGATGCTTCAATGTGGTATCCATAGTGGTTATTGCACCCAGGGGCTTCAGTATCTTCTACAATTCTTTGTCCTATTTGTTGATCTAAATCAATTGGTATAAGATTGTGTTTTTCCATTTCTGAGTATATATGATCATAGTCAGGAAAAGATTCCATGATATGATTTATTCTATCACTACTAATGTGTCCATCTTCCAATATGTTACCAGTGTTTTGAACATTTTGATCTGGTATCTGAGGTGAAGAATACCTCATGTCTGTAATCTCAGACAGGTGAGGATTGTATGCACTGTAGCTACCCGTGGTTGGATTTATGACATTATGAGGCTCAAATGATTTGCTTTCCACTGAACCACCATGTATTCCTGGTTCATCCCAAATGTGATACCAGGGAATACTGAAGTCCTGGGGATGGAAGTTAATTGATCCTGTTCTTTCTAGTTCATTGTTTTTGTCAGGGCTTCCAAATCCTAACATGTTGTTTGGAGTAAATGCATATCTTGAAGCTTGATCAATTTCACCATTGCTGAGATCTATTGATTCAGGGTTGCAGATACTACCATAATTGAAATCATGATAATTGACTTGATTCGTAATACCTTCTTGATGTCTTGATGGCCATAAACCCATTGTTCTATATTGACTGCTGACAGGAAAAAGTGCCTCTCCAAATATCTGACCACCATTATTTTCTTCATTGAAGCTTCCTGAACCATTCTGTACTGAGATTTCTGGTGAAACAACTCTCTCAACTTTTGAAAAAAGGATGATTCTAAATGCAAAAAGAGATCCTGAGGCAAGAAATCTCCCAGTGGTAGTCTTTTTGATGAGAAAGAAGTTCATTGATATGAATCTGATGAGTGGACTAGTGGAAGATTTTTAAGATTGATAAAATGTGGGAGTGGATAGGAAAGAATCTGTTTGAGGACTAGAAATCATGTTGCATTACCATAACAGACAGCTATTATTTGAGACATGTAATTGATTTGCTGTGCATTCCCAATAATTCTATGAGACTTGTCCCATTGGGTGATGAATATTTGAATTTTACAGCTCACTATACATCCCCACATACAATGGTCATGTCACCAAAATTCCATCATACATATTGACACTTGACAAAGTCCCTCTTGGACAAATGAGTAGTCAAGAGAGGAACTTATACCTTATTTTTGAATTTGGCATGTGAACTGGCAAAGTTTGGCTGGGGACTTCTTCAATGCTCAATATTTGTGTACTCTACAAACAGATATCTTTGGGACCAAAGAAAAGAGTTGTGTGTCTGCTTACTTTACACACATGTGTGCATCCTACTTCTGATTTGACAGAATCCTTGTGGACTATTCAATTGTGAAACTTGCAAAAACACCAAAATCTGGGAGAAAGCTGACCACCCTGTCAAAAGCTCACACCGGGCAGGCTGAAATGTTACACATAACCCAATGTCTCAAGTCTGTTATTCAGTGCTTTCCTGGAGCCAAGAGATAATTTTACAAAGACCAGTATGTGTAGGTTGAGCAGGTGCACTTTTCTTTGTTCCAAAGGATGTTTGCCTGTGGGGTACACAGATATGGAGTGTTGCAAAATTTGCAATCCAACTTTTCTGGTTCATACACCAAATTTGATGTATGAGTTAAAGTCCCTCTATCAACTAATCATTGGTCCAAGGGTGACTTTGTTAAAGTTGTATATTGATCATATTGTGGTCACTAAAAATTTCAACCATAAGAAGACATTCTGCATCAAACAAGTTCTAACCGGTTAACAACTTCTTTCTATTGGTGATACACAATATAATTCATAAAAAAAAGTAACAAATAAAACTACATCTCTATTACTCAAGTTTTGAAAGTATATTTTTCACACAATGTTGCAATAACAATGCAACAATAACTATTCAGGGTGGAATGAAATCGTAACCCTGACTGGGAGAATAATTACAAAGTAAGGTGACCATGAATGAAAGGGACTATCAAAACTAGTACAGCCTATGACCAGGTAGTCATTCAGGCTGAGCCTTAATGAAATAATCATATAGATGATTTAACAAGTATACAAATACCTTCTCTCCTACAAAGAAAGAAAAGGTTATCCAAAAAACTGTGCACCATTCTTGGCAACCAGACTCATTGCTAAAACCTTCCAAGCTTTTACTTTCAGAATTTAAACAGTCCATTTGTTTTAAGTAAGCCCATAGATCACTAGAATAACTTTCTTGCCTACTGGCTAACTTTAAAATGCTATTTCTTTTGGTCCTTGGAAGAAAACCTTGTTCTTTGACTCAAAAGAGTGCTGTATTTTCTCATTCACACCTAGTTGTTTGAAGGACCTTACCATTCTCAACAAAGCATAGTACAAGCTATTTAATTTTTGCCCTTTGAGATCTCATTTGCCAAGACACTTTGGAAGACTTCTAACTGATAAGGATCAGTAGACAGTAATCTAATAGATTTCTCAAAAACCCAAGAAGAGCTGTCCACAAAGTGAGTTGCCAACTCACTTGTAATTTTTTATTAGATACACTGATGGTCTAATCATTTCTTGTCCTTTTACAAGAACTCCTTTTTTGACTAGATTTTTGGTAGAACAACTCCTGCCACAAAGGCATGTCTGCATCACATTGACCTTGTTTCTCATCATCATCAACTTTTAGACTTCACAAGTCAACTATTTTATGCCAGCTCTTTCAAGTCTCAAGCTGACAAAAACATTACACTGCACAGAAAGTGATATTTTCTGTGCAGCAAAGAAAAATAAAGGCAGATCTTCCTGTAGAAAACTCCCAACAAAACAAAAAAATGGTAAATATATACAAAAATGTCTATATTAGGGCCGTTCAAGATGAGATTTGTGAACACCCTGCACGCAAATGGTTGATCCAGAATTTTAAGGACTGACATTCCTTAAAATTCATGTTCGCAAAGTCACCAACAACTCTGATCTAAATTTTAAGTGCTGGCAAAATCAGGAAAAATTTTTCCAAAAGTGCAATGAATTCTTTTTTTCTTCAATCCAACAGTCCTTTTTTTGCCTTGTGATTTTTTTTGAGTCTTGAACAATTCACGCTCTTTTCAAGGGGTCTTACAGGTGTGCAGAAAACAAGAGTCTGGTCTATCCCCAGACCTCATCAACCCTGTTTCATCATCTCAACTTCCTCTGGTTTCCCTCACTTGTTTCATCCTTCATGCCTTGCGTCTCCAATCGGGTTTCAGTCATCCGTGACTTGACCAATCTATTGGGTGTGTCCCACTTGGATTCTGAAATACTTCTGCCTGGACAACATTGCATTTGCCACATTCTGACTGAAGGCAATCTTGTATTCCAAAATAATCACGTGATGGCCACCCTGCACAATGCTGTTCTTGATCCTGAACAACAGTGGGGTGAGCTTCTTGCTCATGTAATTGCCAGATGTTATCTTCAATATTGGACTCATTTGCCTTTCTCTACCACCTTTGACTTACAAGATATGTCACAAGCACAACACATGGACTTCCGCCAGGCCATGCAAACCACACCCAAAGGCTTCTACGCCTTGCTTCAGATGATTCAATCACATGACGTATTTGTATCTTCCGGAAACCTTGTTCAGCCTCCTGCCAAAAAGCAACTTGCCATCACCCTCAAACGTCTTGGAAGTAACAGAAATGGCGCTTCTGTGGGTAGATTTGCCAGGAATTACAAAGTGGGATGTGGTCTGTAATTAACTGTACTCGGCGGGTAATAACAGCAATCTTGGACGTGGGCACTCACTATCCTACTTGGCCAAAACCAAATCAACAAAAATCCATTGCAAATGATGAGAACATGATTACTTTGCAATTGAAGTCCTGAAGCCGGTTCCTTTGATGTCCTAACGTGGGTGCCACTCCTGATCAGATATGATAAGAAAGGAATTCACCGTGTGAATTTCTTGGTAGCACCTTGACTTGCACACACAAAAAGAAAGTCATAGTGGAATGATAGAAGTTTTAAACAGGTCTTTGGACCCAAAGACTTTCCCTTTGAACAGATCTTTGGATCCAAAGACTATCCCTTTGTCCAGGTGCTCAGAAATCAAGCCCTCTGTGAGACAAATATGCAGGTCTGAGCTGCTTTGCGCACACTTACTTCAACAAAACATTATCCTTTTTTTCAAATCTCGTCGTGTGCGCACATCGACATGCTACAAGGTATTTTCCACGGTGATTTCTTGACAAGTAATGAGCCACAAGACCAGAAGAGGGAACATGAGTTTGAGGGTTGTTGGGGTACCAAGGGATGCGGGCAAAGCCGGGGATATCTGTGTTTGGGCCAATCATGTACAAAATAGTTTGTCAATGAAAGAGGTAACAGTGAAAAAAACATGTCCAGAAAAAAATACTGATTTTTTTCGACAAAAAACTGTTGTGATCCAGGGACATGGAAGCAATTGTTTTTTTCAAAGTTCATACCTGATACACAACACTTTTTTTTGAATTGCGGGAACAAGTTTTAAAACTTTTAAGAAAATTTGGGTGATTGCAAAACTGTGGACCACAAACCTAAAATTTTACTTATAATTTAAAGCTCCCAAACCAAACTTAAATTTTAAGGAAGGGCTGTAAAAGCCCTTCTTGAACCGCCCTAATATTTCTACTTGCTTCTTTCTGTTCCTGTGATTTTTTCATAATTTTTGTTACAATACCCCTTTTGTGTTCTACTGAAACAATAGGGGTATTAACAACTTGTGTTTTGTGTCCCAGAAGTGTCAAGAAGTGACACCCAGAAACTTCTGGGACACCTCCAAAATGTTTTTGGATGTCACTTCTGGACCTTTCTTGATAGATTTGAGAGCCCGACTATTCCCCCATCCCCATCACCTCACTTCTGTCTTGCCACAAATACCTCTTAGCAGGTGACTATTGGACCAACATCTCAATACCATGATGAAGCACACTCCTCAGAGTCAGAGTCCTCCTCAGCCTCAGGCATTTCTGATGGAGATGGGTGGCTGAACTGACAAAAACCCGCGGACTAACTATGGGGCGCGCCCCTACACATTTTGGAGCTTTGAGGCGCTACCAGGCGCGCCCACAACATGAATCTGAGGAGGGTTTTATTTGAGTTAGAAAGTGAAACCAAAAGCTTAGAAAGTCTTTAACAAAGTCCTGAACAACAGCTGTCAGCATCAACAGGGGTTCTCAAAGTAGACCCGGTTTGTAAAAACCCGGTTGACCCAGTTGACTTTTTGGCTGTGATCTGTCAAAAAATGTCAACTCGATACACAAGGTTACTGCCAAAAAGCAACCGGGTCAACTGGGTTTTCTTGAAACCGGGCCAACTTTGAGAACCCCTAACGGACTATTTTAAGTTAGAGAAAGTCTGTGATTTATCTTTTGGGGTGTGGTCATCGGGTTAAACTTAGCGGGGGGGACTTTGATAAGTTTACCATCGGGTTCACGTCGGTCTTGAGTCAAAACTGTTTCCAGACTTGCCTGTTTCTCCATTTTCAACAAGAATTCCTTTCTTCAAATGTCAGTATCAAAGTTTTCGATTTGGAAGTCAGAGCAAGCACCCAGCTCGCCTACAGATCCAGCACAAATTCAGCATTGCTTTTATTGTTTCAATGTACTTGATTCGGAACTTCGATCAAAACCTGATAGTAAAAGAAATGTCGAAGTGATCCAACATGATGCTTCTTCAGCTTCGAGAGATCAAATCGGTCAAGAGCTTGCCAATTTAATCGGTTCAGATGCATTGTGAGTCGTTTGATTATTCTTGTGTTTCTAATGCTAGACCGCTCTCGGAATCAGTCCAAAGTGTCTATTTGATGAAGACACAAATGTATTGACAAACGGTCTCTCGCTCTGTGTTTCATATATTCTACGTCTTTGACTTGCCTATCATCAGCCCTCTGTTTGTCACCTGGAACGTGGTTCGGAACGGTCATCACCCTAGGTTAAGGGGTTGCATTGGAAATTTTTCTCCAAGTCCAATAAACGAAGGTTTGAAAGATTACGCCTTGATCAGGTTAGTCTTTCGAAACACCTATGCACAGCTCAATCACAAAGCTCACTATGAGATTATGAAACTCCACAGTGCGCTCAAAGATCATCGATTCCCACCGGTCTCTCTTCCCGAACTCAAAAAACTATCGTGTACAGTCTCACTTCTTCATAGTTTTGAAGATTGTCAAGGTGTAACAGATTGGACGATTGGAAAACACGGAATCTATATCCATCTACCAGATCCGTCATATTATCCACTTCCAAATTCAAAAAGTCCACCTGACTCTGAATCCGTCACACCTCGAGAAGAGCAGGCAGTTCCATCCTTGAACACAAACGGAATCGCGACAGCAACTGAAGCGTCGGACGACCAAATCTTGAAGGTCCGAAACTCACCTCGTGTAATGCATGGCAATAAACGCAAGCATACACTTTCCGCTACTTATCTTCCCGACGTGGCTCTAGAGCAAGAGTGGGTTCATTTGGAAGCAATTGACTCAGCCATTCGGAAAGGTACGTCACAACAAGCTCATACTTGATCTTCTGTCTGTCATACATGATCATACCAGAAATTGTGGATTTATTACTTCCTGAAAGAACCTCAGCTTAACCTTGTTTTGCCCCTCTCTATCTTTACTTGATCTTTGACGTACTTTAACGGAACAGCCGGATGGGATGGACCGATTGATAAAGCACTACGTGATACATTGATCATAGAACGATATCAATCTTCAAAGTGGACCGCTACTTATCATGAATTTGAAGAGTGGAGATCTCTCATGGGGTGCCCAGTGTGATTTTGCGATTTTGCTCATATATGTCTTAATCCGATTATTGTATTATTATTATATTTTTATCGTCAATGGGTTAGCCTCATCAGCTCCCGGAACAAGATGTACTGATGTTCTTTTTGTAATATTCGACAATCAAGTCTCCAATGCTCAAGATGAAGGTTGTATGCATACAGCCAATGAAGACTTCACCAAGAAAAATCGCAATGTAAAAGCAGTTTATCTTTCCCTTTGACAAACAACTAATGTTGTGATGACTGTGAAACATCAAGAACCTTAGCATTGGTACTAATGCCAATGCCGCTCTTTGACTGTTCTGCTTACCTTTTAAGCCACTGTTTGACTATAGTATTGGAACTCTATTGAAATACTACAGTCTCAGACTTGGATTTTTATCTGGATGACAATCCCATCAGATTCGTTCCCTTCCTCAAGGACTTTAAATACTGCATGCAGGTCCACTTTGGTCAGAATTGCCTCATGGAAACCAGTTTATATACTCAAATGGCCTCCGAGGGAGTCCGTGGCCACCTCCGGATAATTACAATGTTACTCATTGATCATGAGTATCCTGTCGGTTTCAATGAATTGAGGTCTCCATTAGGGGGTTTCAAGTCAGAAATATTTTGTGAAACTTTTTAAAAAACGGACAAGTTTCTTAAATTTTGCGGTGGGACTTTTTTCTGCAAATATACGGTCAACACCATTCGGGACACCTAAAAAGGTGTCCCGATTTTTTTAAATTTACGGTTATTTTGCAACATCGGACAACTTGTTGGACTGTAAAATACCGTAAATTTATTGACTTGAAACCCCCTATTGTCCCATGCATCCAGCAAATCTCAAGACGTTCGATGGTGCAAGATAAAAAAATCAGGGAATGCTCAAGTGATAATGTGACTTGTCGAGCTCCAAATTGCATGAGAAGTCTATTTTTTTGGATTAAAAGGACGGAATAGTTGTTTACTCAATAGATGAGATTCTCTGATTTTGCAAAATGACTATTGATCCTCGTCACTTCTTTGCACAATCGGCCTTAGTGCTCTTCTTCTGAAGAGACCGGTAGTCAGACTACAATTTAAAAGTTTAGCCACTAGTTTTGGAGGATTTTCTACTTGGCTTGAATCTGTAAACATTGGGGTGACGATGACGGACAATTCAGTCGCCCAGAATGAGGTCGTCTATAATTCACCACAAAGGAGTCAGCATATGATAATCAAAATTGAATCAAAGAGCTCATTTACAAGTTTTAGAGCTGTGTGGCCTTGTGACGCTTCAAGTCGAAGATTTCCAGCCAAACCTGGCATGATACGAGTTAGGCTTTCAGTGATATCCGGCTCTTGCCTTTATACACGTGAAGGATTAGGTGACGAGAATGGTCAGCTTTCATATTAATCTCAAGATAAGTAGCAAAAAGAACTGACAAAGGTACTGGTCTAATTCCTCGTTCGTAATTGGCAGCTGTTAACTTGTCTTAAATTATTGTGGCGAATATTAGGTCACAGACATCGTGATAAAGAAACGGATTGTTAACTGACCACGTGGAGGAGAGAAACGTTCCAAGAACGAAGCCACCCAATTGACAAGATCCCCAAAGTTTCCATCGAAGGCACCATCGTTCAATACTACAGGTGTAGCCGAAAGAGATTCGGCCATCATTGTTGTCCATTCGTGTGTATCTTCCCTGAGTAGTAATGGTTTAGAGGTTAATGATGAACTGGATATGACAGGAATGAAATATGATGGTGGTCAAGTATCAGCATGAAGACAGTCGTCGTGATTGTGAATCAGGAAGTAGCCGGCACTGACGCATAGGGTGGCAATTCGATCCCAAAGAGCGCCTGTACACTTTAGGATATCATCGAAAAAATGAGATTCCATCGAGATCATATCATCAAAACCTCTTACCAGTTGTTTCATGTCGTGACTCACCATTCTCCATTCAACGTTACTGTCATATCCAACCTAGACCATGGATCAATGGTCCGGTACCATCAGCCCATATGAACCAATTCCACAATTCCTGACGATGCGATTACCTACCTGAACGAAGCTCCCGTGATGAAAACCATCACATGGCTCGGAGGTCCACGTGCTACTTCAACTAAACCATCCTTCGTCCATTCTATGTCATTAGTCCTACCACTGACCATATCCTCTAATCTCACAACCTTTCTGATAGAGTGTCTTGAACTTAAAGATGGTCCGACTATTGGTAAACTTAATAGATCTCTTAATCCATCTAATCCATAATACTTTGAATCTGCTAATAACTTGGCCGGTTCTTTAACAGGTAAAATAGGATAACCTGATAAATATTCAACAATTATTTCAAATAAATCGGGTGATCTACTATCTAAACGTAACCGTCCTGAAACATTTTCTGAATAAATATCATCTAGAAATGCAATCGTAAATAAATTAGGAGAATCGAATTGGATTTGATCTCTTGTAAGGATAAATGTCTTTCCCCTAACGATGATCGTATATGGACCATTCTTTTGACGTGATGCCTCAGCGTAGCTACGAGTTGAGGTTCCTGACGGCGTATCATCTAAATCAAGACTTGGCGAGTGGATTAGTGAGGATGGACCTTCGAGTAGATCGTTACGCATGAAGCTTCTTGACGTTGGAACTGGTGTCACTTTGGGTCCTCGTCCGCTCCTGGTACTCATCGGATATGATCTGATAACCTCGTGGGGGATTTAAAAATGAAACTGTTTTAAAGTTGAGTGATGGGTTGCGTTCACATCATACATAGTTAGAGTTTCATGCGTTCATTTTGTCGATATTCCCAAGACGCGCCAAGACGTCACTGTCGGTCGATTGAGTTGAATCGGACATCTTCCGGAGTTGCAACATCTGGGGCACAGTCCCACAAGTTCGAACCCGTCTTTTCGGTTCACAGAGTCATAGAGGCTGTGTGGGTTGATTTAGAGGATTGGAACTTAGGACAACAGAGACAACAGCAAGATCAACTTCAATTTCAGGTTTTCATCACGAGTCAAGGATCAAGCCTCAAGGACCAATGTGTAAGCAAAGCATAAGGTACAACTAAACTTGAACTGTGGATAAAACAACACACATACATATGAACTTGTGTGTGCCGGAAACAAATTCTGGAGGCTTTTAAAGGGAACTGGAGAGCCCAAGCACTGTAAACATCATTCAACTTCCCCAATTTGGCAGAGGAAAATGATTAATAGTACAGTTTTTCATAAAAGAATCTAATACTGCACACCTGGGCCATTTCACCCACACTACATATGTGCAGCAAGCTAAGTCAATAGTTGTCTATCATGTACATACAGGTCTGCTCAGTTTTTTGCCCATCAGAATAAATAAATCACATGTTATACCACATGTAACTTTTTCGACTTTGAAATTTTTTTCCCAAAAATTCACTACATATAATTCTGTAGCTGCTCAGGCAATATTGTTGAAGCTATGTCTTAGTAACAGAAAGTGTGTTACATGCAGTTGAGTTGATGAGATCACACCAAAACATTGAGTCAGTGTATGTAGTCAATCTTTTGGAAGCTTTTTTCAATCTGAAAGAAGTTACAGCATGTATTACATATGAATAACTTGTCCTGATGAGCAGATAACTGAGCAGAACTGTATGTACATGATAACCACATATTCACTGAGCCTGCTACACATATGTAGTGTGGGTGTTATGGCTCAGGTGTGGAGTGATAGACCATTTTATGACAAATCATACTCCCAATCATTTTTCCCTGCCCACTTGGGGAACCCGAATAATGTCTGCAGTGCAAGTGGGGTTCCAAGTTCCAACTCTTGGGAGACAAAGAAATGGATACCCTGGTCTGATTTATATATCTCTTGAGAGGCTGGTGTAGGATGAGGGAAGCATGCTTGTTGTCCTTTGGGGTCCTTAGAGTTGATCCTCCAGTAGAAAAGTTGTGTGAATGCCTGGAACAGATTCTGATATCTTTGCAGTGAAATTGAATAACCCCAAGATGGGATTCAAACTGTCAAAAGAAGAAGATAAAATGAAAAAGCATCTTCAACAAAAATCATGTTGGTCCTTTTGTTGAACAGTGATTCAAGTCCACAATCAAGACCTCAAAACTCACTGGTCAACCATTGATAAAGTGAATATCTTTGAAGGACTTTATTTAAGAAAGCTGTCTATATCTTCTTGGAGTAGCTGCTGCACCTGTGTCAACTGTTTGGTGAAGAATGAGAGATTGAAAAAATGACAGCTTAACTTTGCCAGTATTACAGTCACATCTTTTGTACTCATCAGTGCTCACATTGGCTGGATCATAATTGTGGGGAAATTCATAAAATTATTTGCAAAAGAACATCAAATGGCTGTTTCAGAGTATTATCCAGGTACATTATAGTAATTCTTGTGACCTTTCATAAAGTCTAAAAAGGCTTGACAGCTTGAGGGGGGGCTTTAGATTGCAGCATGAAGAAATGAAAAAGAAAACTGGCTATAAAGTTGTCCATAGGTTCTGAGAGTTTGGCCTGACAATTTGATCTTGGGAGGGACAGCGGGGAATCAAAATACTGCAAACAAAAATTAGGAAGATAAGGATTTGTGATTTACTAATTCTCTGTTATTCATCAAATCAGATGAGATGTGCTTGATATTTAAATCTTTAGGTAAACCAAATGAAGTAGGGAAAAGAAAGAGAAATTCAAGCTGCTAAAGAAAGCAATTGTATTAAACACATTGATGTGTGTCACTCTTTGTAGAGGGTTTGTTGGAAAAAAGAGATCTATAGATAAACTCTAGATGTCCTCAAGGTGAAGCCATTAAACACCACATATAGTTTGATTCTGACATTCCAAATGCACCTGAAAGATTTTGAAAACTTTCTGATTCATGGGCAGTGAATAACACCCCCTTCTTAGCAAGAACCAACACAACTCTCATATGCATTCTTGTTGTGTGAGATGCCTTCATTGCAATGTTAAAACATTCAGCAAAGTTTAAGAAGGTCAATCCTGAATTCAATTCCTGTGCTTTCTGCAAATTAAGCAAGCCTGTTTTCTTCAATAGACTGTCCAGCCAAAGTTTTGTCCACAAGGAGAGATTGTGTTGTAAAACTATCCAACCACTCATCATGATTCAGAATTGGCTCCAGTTTCAATTTTGAGCCATGCTTTTGAAACTTATGATTCTCATTGAAAGATCAGACTTTCCAAATTCTCATGGCACATAAGAAACAAGACTACTCTGATCCAACAAGATTTCCTAAATTCCTTAAAACTAAAGCCATTGTAAGATCTACTTGGTAGATTTTTAGGTCAGTGTGAATGAAACTTGTCAACATGGTTTCATAACTTTGGTAGATGGATTTCAAATTTAGTTCAGTGCTCACCTTTGAGTCATTGTAGTGATGAGGATGAATGTAGATGCTGCATATGGCACTGCTCCCTTTATATTTCCAAGAATACAATTTTTAGGAGTGACTTCACCGATACCTAGAGTTTTCCATTTCTGGTTTCAATTTGACTCACTTGTGTATCTACAAATCAACTTGTTTTACTTTTCAAAATCCCCTCAACTATATTCCTCTGAACTAACATTTACAGGATACAAAGTAGAAGCCCCAGCTTCATGCCTAGATTTTTTTTTTGACAGTAAATTTGAATTCTGGGCCCAGACTTTTGCCCAGAAAATCAAAATGTATTGCCAAACTAATTCCAGGCACAAAGCTGGGGCTTCTATTTTGTATCCTGTAATTGGCCATTGATAATCCTATGCTGAAGATGATATGTAAAATTCCAAAGTAGTGAGTTTTTGATGCTTTTTCTTTTATTTTATCTTGATGTAATTTTTGTGTGGCAATTTTTTCAACCAGTTGATCCACAAATTCTTTGGACCTAGGAATCTGCCTATGTATAAACTTAAAAAGGGTTGTAATGAAACCTGTTTTTCAGTTTTTGAGCTCTACACAACACACCACTCCTTCTCTCAAGGTCCAGAGCACTTCAAAAGATGCGCATGGACTATGGCTATCAAATGAGCCTACTCCAAGCCTACCAACTTTGCTCACCTGGGCTCAAAATTGATTGGCACAAAATAAATGCTGTGCCCCCAAGACCTATTTAGTTGGTTGAAAATACAGTAGGTACTTTCAATTATTCCCAAAAGTGTCCAGAAGTGTTTGCTTATAAATCAAGCCCCTTGGGCCGCCGTGGCCACACCCTCAAAAGAGGGGCTTATGACTCAAACAGGTTTTTTTTGGCAGTGTGACTCCAGAAAGTAAGTCCCCTTATGTGTTTTTCTGGTCTCCTCTCTTCCTGTTTTCTTAAATTTTTCAGCCCTCTAGTATGTTATTCCTCATTGAGTTATACATAACATGGTACCATTTGCATGGGTTCAGATGAAGCAGAAGTGCTTTGAAATTGTGATTCAAGATTTCTAACTCGGTTGCTTTCAAATTTCATTGGAGGGATATCATTATCCAGCTGGCTTAGTTGGTCTTAGTCCATTTACAACACGGTGTAAGGCCTGTTTTTTTGCATCCTCAGCACAGCTCTCAAGCTATGCAAGGATGTCTGTTGCTCATGAAAAGCATATCACAATATGTGCAATCTGACAAAGCATAAAATACTAGAATGACTGAAAATTTTCAAGAAAATGGGAAGAGAGGAGACCTGAAAAAGACTATAAGGGGACTTAATTTCTGGAGTCCGGACACGGCCACTGTTAAACTTAAGCCAAGCAGAAGTGACATTTCAAAAACATTTTGGAGGTGCTCCAGAATTAGTTTCTAGATGCCACTTCTTGACACTTCTGAGTCTTTTTTGAGGGAATGTTCTCATCTCCTCAGAATTCAATCAGCTTAAAACCCTCGAACAGAAGTGAATCAAGAGTCATCTCCGCATATACCAGTTCGATAGATGAAAGATATCAAAGTAAGAACTAGCAGTACTAGTACTGTAGGTAGGGCTAAAGACTAACTGAAGAATCCATAAATCGTTACAAATTCTGAAGAAATCCGATCAACAAAGCTTTAGAGTCTAGACGGGTATATCTCTGAGGGCATGTGAGCTAATTATCACTTTGTTCGTGTTTATAATGATCATATGAATGATGGATCTATGTACAGTGGAGGTCTTTAGGGCATATACAAGAAGAAACTAAAAATACTACAAATCAGATTTCAAGGTCTGATTTGTTGATTGGTTATTTCTTGGTCATCTCAGGTGGATCAAATTGATAAAGAGATGAAAAGATTAGTACGAATTCTTCAGCTCGGTTGATAAAACTTAAAGGAGGTTTGTTTGAATTTGTCCAATCGAACCCCTTTAAAAAACGAACAGATCAGCTCGAACTAGAACTCGAAGAAGAATCAGGAGACCTACTTGACGTCAATTTGTTTTCTCATCAACTCTACAATCAATCAACCCTTCCATCCATCCCGAAGTTGTGAATGTGATCATATCATATGATTGTATAGAACCCTCTACATAAGTTTTTTCTGAGATAGTTGAAATCTTTTATGTACAAGAGAATAGTGATCTAAACAAACAAACAAACCAAAAGTGAAGTTGAAGATCTCAATCAAACCATCAACTCTACCCAACTAACTCTAACAAATTAACACAGCCTTAAAAAAAGTTTATCAACTATTAATCCAAACATACAAAACTAACTGATTAGTAAATTTTTTTATTAATCACTTTGTATAAAACATTGCTCATCTTTTACAATCCAACATGAATACAAAAAACCACCAACGAGTTAAAGGAATCAAGTTAACGTAAAAAACGAATGCTGAACAACTGAACAAACGAAAAAATATACCAAAGATGAGGAAAAGGTAAGCTCTAAATCGCATCTCATCAATTCGTTTTTTTTCAGTAAAGCTTAGCTAATAATCAGTACGCGAAAAAACCTCTTCTCTCATAAAAGAAACCAAAAACTAAACAAAAAAAACGTCAGTTCAAAAGATCTTCACCAATTTTTTCTTCCTGTAACAAACCAAACTAAGGAAGATCTTCAAGTAGTATTTTTATCAAAGGGGATGATTTTATAAAATAATAAGGCTCATTTTCCCATTTTACTTAATTTTGTATACTATGAATGCTTAGATAAACTTACCATCACGATTTAGTTTTCTAACCACAACTACTACTAAAGAAGAAGAAGATGAACCATCAGATCTTTATAACCCCACGAATTTTCCATCAAGTTCAAGTTCAAGTCCCAAAAGTTCCGAAGAATCATTCACAACCCATTCTTACCATCACCTATCATACCTACCCATCCCATTATACATATCCCAACCTTTCCGAAGAAGTTCACTACAAATCTTAAAACCTTCAACTCATCAGAACTTTTCAAGTGATAGGTTGATTAAAAGACATTCGAAAATGTTGGATAAATCTTTGTTGAAAGTTAATAATGGATCAAATGAAAGCTTTAAGTGTTGTGGTGATCCATCAGAATTAGTTTATGAAAAAGAATTAGACGTCGAAATTTCTCAATCGTCTTCTAATCCATCAAAACCAAACCAAGTAAGCCTTCTTCCCCTTCTTCCTCAATTCACAATACCTTTCTTCAATCACTAAGAATATTGTCATAAGCATAAGAAAAACTTAATGAGATCTTTTTATTTTTTCTTTGGTTTGTTTAGAATGAAGAAACCCAAAAAGAAATAAAAAAAGAAATCCGAATTGCAAACTTTTATGAATTCCCCAACAAATCCATCAAACTTATTCCCAAAGACCATCACACATACCAAATCCAACCTGAAGAAACTTTCGAAAATATAAAACAAGAAGATGATGAAGAATCAGAAGGATTTGATGACACGATTTTTTGGGAAGGATTAAAGTTACGAAACCAAAGAGAAGAAGAAACTAGAAAATGTTTAACAAACCAATGTTTTATGAATTCATTTGGATCAGTTACAATTAAATGTAAGTTACCCAAACCCATTCCAACTTTTCCTCGACCGCAAAAAATTAATCAAGACTTTTATTTATTGATTTTCTTTTATGAATGGATTTGTTTTGTTTTTAGGTGAATCACCAACAGATATAAAAGAAAAGATCAAATCACCAAGACTAAGTATCCTCCACATCACCCAATCCAATTCCCCAGACCAACCATACCAACCGGTCACCGAATCCACAAATTTAACAACCGATTCGATTTCGATTTCGATTTCAACCAGTACGAAATCTTCCCTAAACCCGATTCCAGAATCCCCATCCCCACCAAACTCACCAACCCAAGCTATTCAAATCCAATCATCAGATCCATTAGAAAAACCTAAAAGGAATGGAATGCTAGTGATTGGAGGATTATCAATCCGAACGAAAACTTTAATCAGTTTTGAAAAAGATTCTCATCAAACTGAAGATGAAAAGCTTGTGATCAGAAGAGTTTCATTACCTTTGATCAATACTTCTTCAGACTCTCATTCTTGTAATCCGGATGAAAAATCTTTAAAATCTAAACGAAAAGCTCTTTGTTTCCGATCTCATTAAGTTATTCTATTAAAAATACATCATATATATCCATATAACTTGATCCTTTTTTTTGTAAAAAACCTTTTGTCAACTTAAATTTTTTCTTGTTTATTACCAAAAACTCTTTGTTTCTTGTTTCTTTTTTTCTTTTGGATTTCTTTTTTTTCAGGAATAAATGGATTGTTTGTATAACTTTTACAAATGGATTTCTTTTTATAACCCATTTATGTATCTCGATTGTATAATGAAAATGAAATCTGTAACCATGAAAATCATAGAAAAAACCCACTTCAATTGAACCGATCAACTCACAAAAACCATATAATGAATTTTGATTAACAAAAAGAAACCAAAACTTTTCACAATCAAATTAATCTTGTATGGAGGAATCGAATCAATTAATCTTCCATCGATTTCCACAATACAAACAACACCTTCCATCCACAATCTCTTCCAAAGATCCCAATCCCAATCCAACTTTTCGTCCACATCCACCACAAACTCTTAACTGACTATGATCCAAAACTTCAAAACTAATCACGCATCGATCTTTAAAACCCAAAAAAACATCAGTCTCTTTCTCAATCCTAATCAAAAGAACAAGACCAAAATCTAAACTAACCCCATACATGACCTGCTTCACAGATCCCTATTAATAAATTCTCAAATCCAATTTTCTTTCCACAAGCTGGACAATCTTCATGTAGAGCCAAGATCGGACCTTCCAGTCGATCTGCATCAGATAACCTATGTGACGGTACATCCGGTGCAAGTAATTGAGGTAACGTAGGTTCTGGTCTGTTACCAATCACATCTCTAGCACTCTTATACCTCCTTGCGATCATCTTTTCACGTTCTATAAACCGAAAATCCAATCACATCAGTCATGATATATAACAAATCAATCAAACAAAAAAAAACCTTACCTGAAAGTTCATCATCATTCGATTCTTCAAAAAACTTTGCAATAATCTGAATGACTTCATAATATATCCTACGTCGGATCTTCACATAACTATCCACAATCGTTGCACAAACTTCAAGACTTAAACCTGATGGATTTGTTGATGAATTGATATGAAATCGATGTATAAGATAACTACAGATATTCGCTTTGATCCTTAATCCATCAATCAATGGGTTTTCAAATAAATCAATCCTGATCGGGTTTCTTTTTGAGGAAGTCTTGGTTTCACTCCTTGCACAACTATCTACTTCAAGTAATTCTAATAATCTTGTACTTGGGCTTTCGAGTGACAACAGAGCTGGTAAAAGACATGCCAAAGGTGCAATTCGGAAACCTAGTCGCCATTAAAATGTGAAGATCATTAAATTAGATTGAAATCAAAAGACTGATAAAGATAAAGGGACGAACAAGGTTTGGGGGTTTCAAATAAATCAGCTAGTTCATCAGCCGGATCACATCCACCTAAAGGAGCAATACAAAACAACAAATGTTGTCTATTCTCTGGTTTATACCTGAACCGATTCGGAGCATCAACTCTGTGGTGTGGACGAAACTCAGCCCAACATCAGCACCAAGCCACAAGATCATCACCCAAACAAAAATATTTAAGTACAAGAAAGAGAAAAGGCTCAACTCAAACACCCAACTAAACAATCTCCCATTTCCAATCACTTGACTTCCATACACACTCATCACCTCTTGTTTAGTAACAGCAGGACCCACAATCTTTCTAAACTTGAATCGTAAGTCCAACGAAAGCTGAAAAGACCGTTGAAGATCGCAAGCTAATTGATGATTAGAATGATTATAATCAAGTACATAAACTAGCCCGTTGAAGAGTGTGATGATAATTGAAGTTTGTTCGAAAATCGGAATCGTGCTAAGCCCTATAAACCAAAACATAACCTCGCATCAGATGATCGTAAAAGATGAAGACGAATCAAACTTACCAGTACAAGGTGCCCAGTTTGTGATACTGGCCCAATCTAGTCTTGGATCGGGAGTTGGCAATTCACAGACCTTCAAAGAAGGTGGACCTGATTCTGGGATTTGACAAACCACTACTTCTCCTAATCTAGTCAAGATTAAAGCAAGACTCTAAGAATCGATTACATACGTAATGATCAGTATGGAAATATAGTAAAGTATTCCGGAGATATCAAAACACATACCTGAGGATCATGAGCTGGTTCACTCCATTGCATTGCACTAATGGTAGATTTATTACCTACATCACGGTAAAGTAACTGAGAATGAATTTGTACCGAATTTGGAGATTGTAATTGACGAGAAACACGTGTGAGGTAGACTACTCCTTTAGAATTAGCTACTGCAAGATATGCCATATATTCTATTGGAACTCCTTTAAATTTTCATCTTGATTAGACCTTTTCAAAAAAAGAATTGTAGGATTTCAAAAAAAAGGAAAAGGTTTACCTTTTGTTGAGTTTGAGATTCTCCAGTTTGACCAACATAGTTCTGTGAGTGGAAATGAATCCGAACAAATCGGTTCAAAACAAACCAGTTCCATACTTGCTTTACCCTTATGTCTATGATCGAAGCAAAACAAGATGAATTTCTATTATATCCTGTTCGGATATAAACCAAAACCTTTCTAGGAAAAAGAAATCAAAGCTTAACTGCCATAGAGAGATATCTCCTCTCCGATGTCCTAAAGCCAAGAGAGATAGATCACCATTATATAAATCGATGGCCGAAGACCAATCTAAACCTAAAAGAAACCAAACAAGTTAAAAGAAATCCATAAAAATGAAGTCAAGCTTTCAAACAAACTGATGGTCTGAGTTCGAAGTACAGAAGAAGTAAACCGTGTTCGTTTAGCTGATGCTTCATTAGATTGACTTGAAATCGATTCTGGTTCACATCCGGTTTTCTTGAAATGATATATTAAGAGTTGTTCTGAAAGGTTAATTTGCTTTGGCTATATACCACCTCAACCAAAAGAAAAAAACATCAAAAGGTTTTTCAGTTTGGGCGAAGATTCGATGATGAAACAAGTCAATAAAGATCTAAAATCTTACATTCTTCCATAATCCAGTTTCGAAATTTTTGGTAGGTGTGAAAACATAAACATCACAATTGGTCGTAAGACCCACTAATAAACATCTATAATAAAATTAAACGAATATGATTGATAAATCCAGATCAGAAATGGTTAATTTTTTTCGATGATAAGTGGTTAAAAATTCCGACTAACGATCCTAATGTAGTCAATGCACTTGGTGACCAAATTGCTTTTCTCCAAAACCGATCTACACTAGAAGGAGTAATAGCAGCCAAATCTTTGAGAACGAGAATCCGTTAGATTGATACTTGAAAGAATCCAAAGTGATCTGGAATGGAAAACTTACCATTTGAATGAGTAGACCAAGGTAGACCGAAATGTTTATCGAGTTCGATGACAGTTTTTGAAAACTCTGATGGTTTTTGAGGGTCGGAAGAAGGACCAGGTGTGGTTTGAAACGATGGAGTCTGTGTGCAAAAAAGAGAAGGTGAGTAAGATTTTCTCAATGAGAGTTATGAAAGAGAAAGATGAAGAACTTACTAGTAGATAAAGATAAGTTCTAGTGATGATAAGTGCTTGACCATCGTTTGACCATTTTAATGATGAACCGAAAGGTGAGAATGGAAGAGTAGACAGTGTGGTGGTTCTGAAGATGGTCGAATTGGGTTGACAGTCAACTTCATTCCCATTCCTATTCATCTCCATCTCCATCGACACTTTGACCCAAGTTACGGGCGGGTCGGTTTGCAAAGTTGGATCAGAAGTCACATTCTGGAAATCTTGAAATTCCAAATCGAAACCCAGGGGACTATCACACCGAAACAGTTTCCCTTCTTCAAAAAACCAATTCAACTCTCAATCTGACCATCAACTATTTCCCAATCGAAGCACTCCAGCAGAAAACAAAACTCTCTCAAAAACCTCAAACCCAACAATCAAAACGAAAAAAAAATAACAACAATTTAAAACCCTTTACCAAGAAATCAAAAACATCCGATCAAGATGGAAACACTAAATCATCCAAGATTTCTTATATGGTTATCGAATTTAATAGGTTGGATTTATACACTTGCTTGGTGTATAAGTTTTTATCCTCAAGTGATTTTAAATTATAGAAAGAAATCGTAAGATCATCTATCTTCAAACCTGTTATCTTCATTCCACAAAGAAAAACATAAACAGTTTAATCTAGAAAGCATGAAAAATGTATATCTTATGAAAAATGAAAGTTTGATGCGTTGATTTGTTCTTAGGGTTAGAGGTTTATCGATCGATTTCTTAATCCTAAACACAATAGGTCAGTCAATTCTCCCAACTACATTTCGGTTAACCACAAAACCATCTTTCCATTCCATACCTCAACAAAAAAAGCCCTCTGATAAAAAAAACTGATTCTGAACTTTTTTCTTTTAGGTTTCTTATTTTATTCAATTTCAAATGGATCATTATTATACTCTAATCTAATTCGAAACGAATATTCAAAAAGACATGAACAAAAAGTTCCGAATGTAAGATTTAATGATTTGATCTTTAGTTTACATGCTCTTCTTTTAAGTCTAATCACTTGCTTTCAAAGTCAAATTTATAAAGTAAAGTCTCTTTCTTCTTAATCTTTTCACCATTTCTCTCTTCCACTAATTCTTGTATGATTTTTCTTGGTTTTGTTTAGCGTGACTCAAACCAAACCGTATCACTACCCACCCGTTACCTGCTCATAATCCTAACCGTCTTACTCCCAATCCTGACCCTTCTCTGTATTCAAACCGAAACATCTTCACATCCAAACCCAAAGTTTTTGTTTTTGAAAAACGGATTTGAATTTTTAGATTTGGTGATGGTTTTGTCTACTTTTAAAGTATGGATTTCGTTTGTGAAATATGTGCCACAGGTTTGGTTGAATTATAAACGGAAAAGTACTGTGGGTTGGAGTATTTTGAATATCTTGTTGGATTTTTTGGGTGGTACATTGAGTTTGTGAGTCCTTTCTTTCTTTCTTTCTGTACTTTAATGTTTTGTCTTTGGTGAAGCTTTGTTGGTGAAGAAATTGAAATTCATTACAATTTTTTTTGTTTTTTCTTGGTTTTTTTAGAGCTCAAATGATCCTGGATGCTTTTCTTCAAGATGATTGGTCAAGTTTAAAATCAAATCCTGGTAAATTGTAAGTTTTTCATCACATTTCATAGCTCATCAAGTTTTCACAAAGGATTCAAAAAGCTTGATTTAATTGATTTGGATTTGGATTTGGATTTGATTATAGAGGCATCGCTTTATTATCAATAGGCTTTGATATAATTTTTATCTTACAACATTATGTACTCTATAAAACTTCAAATTATGAAATTCTTGAAAATCATCTTCATCATCAACAACAACATCATCAACATCATGAAGAAGAAGAAGAAAATCATAGGATAAGAAATCAAGATGAATCAAATCAATTAATTGTTTAAAACGATTTCTAAAGACTTGGATTTCTTCTTTATCTTCTAATTAAGTCTTTTCCTTGATAGGTTTCTAGAGTTTGCATTGTACATTGTTTGTGTTTTGGTTTTCTTTCTTCTTGTAATTATACAGGCATATTTGATGAACATTTGAAGGAAAAAAACTTTTTGGATCATCACAGTAAATTGTAAATACAGGTACAGTCAAGATCATTCATCACATATAGAGCCAGAGGCACACAGCTGCTACACACATTCAGAGTGAAATTTCAAACACCAGATTTCAAACTCGAAAAGTCTCTCTGAAAGTATCGAGATTTCTCATAGCAGATCATTCAAAGTAGAATAACTTCAGGCATTTGGCCGTGGATGGTTTCTAGGATCTGCGCATACGGTACACTAGGTCTCACGATTTCACAATTCCGATGCCTGCGTGCCACAAAGGGATACGTAGCAGTGCTGCACAAGCCTTTGAGTAATCTGCTCTGGGGAATTTTCACGATTGTGCCCTGAAGGGTCTACGTCATGAGAAGTGAGTGTGCAAAGTTCAAAGGTCTTATAGCAACTTGGAAACTTGAAAGCTCATTTGGGTACATAGCAATTTCAAATGTGCATTGAATTTGCTAATAGTTGGTACGCTGAGCAGCGACCGGGCTGCTTGAAGAAACGGTCATGATCAGGTGTTGAGATGGACAATAAAATGGACCTCTGCCTTTGTCTTTTTTCCTTCTTTTCCATCAAACTATAGTCTGTCTCATCCAATCTACTCTTCCATTCTTCCTTGTGTATCATAGTAGTAAATAAATACTTACTCAATCCAGCCCTTCAAGGACCAGCACACCATCTCATTTGACACTACATCTTTTTTAGAATGCCTTTGAGAATGCCTTCTGTGTTTCATCTCTTGTTGTTGTGTTTTGTGGGAAGCAAGGCATTTGAGATCACTTCACCTACCGAAACTACCAACTGGGAGTTGAGTTATTTTACATCTTACCAGAGAATTTATTAGCCATAAACTTATTTTATTTTATTTTAGTATATCTGCTCCAATTCAGATCGAATGGTCTACCACTTCAACCGACCCAGAAAAATTTGATCTTCAAATCACAAACCGGGATCCAAAGTAAGTTCACCTGGCTCCTCGGACTCGCATGCTTATCCCAAATTGATTTCTATGTGGTTCTCCTCAAAAGTATTTATCCTGAAGGTATCATAGAACTTGTAAAGCAAGATGTCAATTCTGGTGATGGGAAGGTGATGCTTGACTTATCGGGTAATAATCATCTTAAATCTGGTACAGGTTATACCATCAATTTCATCAAAAGCCAAGTTGAGTGATTTCTTTCTTCTTTAGTCGTCTTATCCCATCAAACTCACATTAAATCAAACATTCTATAAGTCCGATGAGGTCTTGGCACAGTCACACCTTTTCAGTCTCACTAATGATCAATACAACTCGAAGAGCGGTTCAGATCTCTCTAATACCAAAAATGATAATCATCTAGACACCAACAAAACAGTTGATTTGCATGACTCTAGTCCCATGAATTATCCTCATACTGATGTTTCTATTCCGGGTTTCAACTCCACTGATGCAAAAGATTCGGCTCATAATTCTGGTGGAAAGCTCCAAGCTTCATTTTCAATCTTGAAATGGTCATGGGTACTGATTGTGTCTCTTTTGATCAATGTGCTTGTCATTTAACCACTCTTTCCATAAGCTTCTTGGTCCTTTGTCAAATCCATTTGTGTGTGTTTGGTGTACATAGAGCATGTTTGTAGATAAGAATTTTGTAAAGAAAGTCAGTGGTGGGGATGTTGTAGATTTACTGTCGTTTTTTGAAAATAGTAGCAGAAAGATTTACATTGTATAGTGAACTGAATTCCAAAAATCTAAGAGCACGCTGAACAGGTGGCCATTGAGTAGTGTAGAGAGAAGTAGAGAAACTGAGTGAGGTACTGGCTGAGTTGCTGCCACTTCAATTTTTGAAATCTTGAGAGAGCTCCCAAGTGTTTTTGCTCAGTACTGGAGGGCACTGGGTTTGAGTCACACCATTGACAGGAAATACTATATTATAATTCAACTTTACATTGATTGAAAGGCACCAGATGCAAAGGTTGGTTATCCAACTTCACAGGGGCCTTACATGAGAGTTTCACATCAAACTAATGGGTGTCAAGAGTTGAGAGGCCAAACAGCCAACACCATGTTAAATAGCTCACATCCCACATGCTGGAACTGAGAGCAACGGTGTTTATATGCACAAATTACAAACAACACTCTGTGTGGTCTATGCGGTTGACAAAGCTAATCTCATAATCACGATACTGTGTGAAATTGGTAACCTGCTTATGGTTGAAGGTGCAGGAATTGTCAGACAATCCAAAATCTGCCCCCCGCCGTAAGTGGATAATCCTAGTAAACGGCCAGTGTGGATATAATATACTGCAGCCCTAGAAAAAATCACAACACCAAAGAAAGTTAAGAAAATATCCGCCAGTATCTTGAATTTTGTTTGTCCCATCCGGAACAGGTACACTACAGCAAGCATCTTGTAAGAGCATCCCTTGAGGATGGATAAGTACTCAGGAATCATCTGGCACACTGCTGTAATAAGATTTGGTCAATTGACTGTGCAAGCTGAGTATTAGAAGGCCTGAGATGACCTTAGCAGATGGGATAGCCCTTTCTCAGGCTTGGGTATGGAATAAATCCTGAGGAAGGCCTAACTTATCTGCTCAGGCCATGTTGAGCATGTAATCATATAATGAGCTGGGAGAAATTTGCAAACAAACAGGAAGAAATCTTCTTGAAACCTCCAAACCTACTATGCTCACCTCTAATGCTATGTGAACTTTTATCTTTCCCCCTCTGAATCAGCCAACCCAAATATTGGCCAGTAGATTTGACAAAAGACTTGAGCAATTTTGATTCCTCCAGCAAGAATTCTTCTTTCACTCAATTGAATAGGAAACACAACATGACTTCCCCCAAGCCTCCCAATTTCAAGGCATATTTTTAGCACAAAATCTCAAGTTCAAGCTCAAAGTTGTTAGATGGCATTACAAGCACAAAGCTACTCAGGTTGAAACCTCACAAAAATTCAAAATCACTCAATCTTCACTCATTCAATGGCTTGCTCAACACAAGCAGATGGAGGTAAGTGCTTGGCACAGCAGTGAATCAACTGTCAAGAGCCAAGGGAAAGCACTGTAAGCTGGAGGAATATCTATTCCATTGGATCATTGAAGCAGTAGCACATAAGCTTGTCATCATCAACAAAGCAGTACCTATAGCCCCTCTTGTAGGTGTCAGGTCTCCAGTGGGGGGATTGATAAATTCAAAAAAGAGACACCAATGCCCTCTCTTGAGGAAATTGTCAATTGAAATCTAAGAAGATTCAGATAGCAATCCCAAACCAGAAGTCTACTGTGAACCTGGGACAATGAGTCAAATGATAAATCTCTACAGCAATCAAAGAGCTAAATCAGTTTTACTCCTGCAGCTTTGACTTGGACTTCAGCTTCAACTTTTCAACCTTGAATTGATTTTCTATTTGGATCACTCAATTCCACTACATTCCTCTTTATCAACTTGAGTGTTATCTCTCTTTTCACTCCATTCTTTTGTTTGCTACATGTTTTTTACATTGCTTGCTCCTCAAACTTGTTTGAGCTATTGCTTCTCAGTTGAAGATCAGTGCTTTATGAGTCTCTTCTACATACTCTACATGTCCTTCTACTATACCCTATACTCACCAAGCTGAGGCTGTTAAATATGAAATCATGCCATTATGGCCCAAAGCCTAGCATGGAAGTATAGGTTGATGGGTTTATGTTTACATCTTATGCCTAAAGTTCCCTGTGCCAAACTTCATGCTTACATCAAGGGTTGACTGTACATGTGTATGAACATGGTAAGTTTTTTTATGGTACATAAGGCCTACGTAAGGCAGTTTAATCCGGGGATGGAAAACCTTGGAAAACCCATGACTTGAGAGCGCTTAGCGTGCTCTGAGATCACACATTGACGTCATCGATGTCACTAATCCTCATTCTGATTCTGAGTACTTTCCTCTCAAGTGTGTGCGCTTGGCTGAATCGGGAATCGGGATGTTCTCATATCGTTTATCTTTTGGATTGATTTTACATAATTTTATTCATTTCTATTTTTTTGAATTTGAAATTGGAATTGGATCAAGTTGGTTTTTAAAGGAAATTGAAATTTTAAAACCCAATTTGGTAAACTTGATCAGTCTTAAGCTAGAAATCGATTTGATTGGTTTATCAAAGTCAAGGACCCTGTTGTCTTCATACTAGGTATTTATCTTCCGAATCCCATCTTCATCACCTTGGCAAAGTATTTATATCCACTTGCGTTCTCAAAATATCATCTTTACCTTGATTTCCAATCGTCTCATTTAGATTTTCACTTCTATATCAATTTCATTCAGGTTTTTTGATAAAATCCATTATATATACACTTTTATAAGATATCACCCTTTTCGAACTCCTTTCGAACTTTGCATATAGAACCTGTTTAAAGGTAAAGAAAAGAGTACAGGAAACTAGGTATACTGAAATTGACAAAAAACCAAACCATTAGAAAGAAATCATGAAGGTCTTCAACACTTTACAAAATCAAATCATCTTATTAATCATCACATTAAATTTCATAAATTCTTTATTCATCACTTCACCAAATCAATTCAGTTCATGGAAGTAAGTCTAACATTTTCTTTTTGACCTCTTTACCATTTATAATCCGTTGCTTATCTTCCTTAACTTTAGTTTATCTTCTCCTTTAAAAGTGGATTGGATCTCTTCAATAAACGATCCGAAAAGGTTTTATATCGAAGTCGTTAATTCGAAGTTCGAGTCAGTTCTATTTTTCACTACTCGTCTACCAATCCAATTCTTCACCTAATTCTGAGTTGAACATTAACTTTTTGCTGTTTCTTTTTCTTACACAGTTCATCATCTATCCAAACTTCTTTAACAAAAACATATATCAATTCAAATCAAGAATCGTTTAATCTATATGGAACAACAAATTTAAAACCAAGTAAAGATTATCAATTACATTTCATTTCAAGTGTAAGTCATTCATGATTCACAAACTATCCAAAGTCACAACATGATACTCATAAGCTTTTGTCATCTTTACAGACAGGCGAAACCTTTGCCAAATCACCCACTTTTGAAATCTTACCTTCAATAACTCCAACTCCAAACCTAGAAACCTTGAATCCTAAAACACCTTATACTCATCAAACAAACCAATCCCAACCACTCGAACCAAAACAACAAATGGTTTGGCAAGTCTTAGTAAGTGTAAGTGTTTCGGTCGGAATCGGAATCAGTTTGGTCTCGACCGTTGGTGGTTATACAACAATGAGTTATCCTGGTTTATTAAGTGAAGTTTAAACCCATTCAAATCACCATCATGAATAAACTTTGGTTTTGTATATCATCTTTTCTTTCAATGTGTTTATAGTTCATCTTGTTCCTTATGACACAAATCGCTTATTTTACACTCCATGCTTCACAGTTTTGTTGTTTTTAAACTTGTTGTCAAACCTTTCATGTATATTTTTTGTGTAAACCTCTAGACTTTTCTTGCATTTATCTGGTTCCTTAAAACGTATCCTGATTTCTAATCCCTACACTTCAAACCCTTGCAAAAACAAAAATCTAAACTCGTAAATCTTTTATCGTCGATCAAGTTGAATTCCCCATCCGAACTCTTTACAAAGAGTTTCATAAAACGTATTAAAATTAGGTTCGATGATTGAAACATCACTTTCTTCTGATATAACATTTTCTTTTGTATACAGTTTGATTATTTGATCATGAGTTCCTTCAGGGTTTGTAGTAGCTGTCAAAGTTCTTCTTGATCCGTTTGGTTTCAGGATACTTACTACCATAAATGATTTAAAATGAGCAGCTGGACAAGTCGAATTATACCTACAAAAAACCCACCGAATCAATTAGTTGAGGTTCTATAAAGGAGCTTTTAAAAAAAGGTAAAGCGAAAGATGACTAAACCAATTATAAACTTCTAAATCCGAAACAGTTAACGGATTTAAATAAACATGATAACAAGCAGACCAATACCCATTAACAAACCTTTCGACAGTCCAAGCTTTTTGTCCTTCATTTCCATTCTCATTCTCAAGATCAGGACAAAGTTGAAAGTTTAATTTAAATTCTTCACCTTTAGTTAAAGTTTTAATAGGTATATCTGGAATTAATTCGATAGGAAAAGCAGAAGATCCACCTCCAAACCCTATATCACATAAAAACTTTCTGGGACTTGATGGGATGGTTACGAATAAGGTTAGATGGGTTATTGGTGACCAAAGGTGTCCGTGGGTTGATGGATTTGAGTTTCGGTACATGTTTACTCGTGCTCCTTGCAGAGTTACTTCGTAGTTTAGGGTAATTAATAATCTTGCGAACAAATCTATTGAACCAAACCAAAAACAAAAACAAAAACAAAAGCAAAACAGATTTCAGATCAAAGGTTGGTGTAAAGAATCAATCATTTTATTGGTTCTTGTGAATCTATTGCAAAAAAAGGTTTGAGAAAACTTTACAATTTAAGTTGAAACAGTATCCACCACGTCCTTCAATAATGATCCTATTAAAACTTTCAACCTCATCTAAAAAAACTCCTTCAAATTCTTTCTTCATTGGATTTACCCAAACCTTTTCTTTTTCTTTTCCATCTTCTTTTCCATTTTCGTTTTTATCATCGTGATTCTGATTAGATTTCCACCAGTTCTTTGGTAATTGGAGTGAAGTCGTATCAAATGGTATATAAAGTAAATGGTTAAGGTGTAAGAGCTTTAAGGTTTCGATTGAACAGCTTGGGAGTTGGGAGTGGGTTAGGTTTAGTCGGTTGAGGTATTGGGTTACTTCTTGAGGGGTTAGTTTGGTGAATTGATTAGGATTTGATCGCATTGTCCGTTGGTTTTTTTGTTGTCTTTTGAGATCGTGATAAGATAAATCTAGTTGAATGGTTTCTCGGTGAAGTGATTTTGGGTGTTGGGTTTGATTTTGTCAAACCACGCTTTGTTTTGTTGTGAGAATTCTGGAAGTTGGAAGAATGACTTTTTGACCTTGTACCTAATTAATAGGTTTCAACTTGAGAATTGAATTAGCAAATACTTTCAAGCCGTCATGGTCGAATTGACTCAGAAATCCTAAATGCTTCTATGGATTTCATGCATACGAAGGGGTATGAGTTAGGAAGGATAAATGACAAGCCAAGATTATTTCTGGGCAGCTTGTAAGAGCATATAGCAGACATCATTAGCTTTACGATGCACAAGCCAGTCTGCCATTGGTTTGTTGGGACTTCATCGGAGGTCATGAGCATACAACTTCTGTTGTTAATCTCCTGAATAACAGAAGGTGTTGAGGCAGCATGCAAAATCCTCACCTTTGTGTCTGTTTAATGTATCCAGGTAATTACACAAGCCTTTTGTACTCATCACCAACCCACTTGATCCAACACTCAGGAACAAGGCTTGTTTGATGAGATGGATATGTTGAACCACAGTGAATCTGAGGAAGTGTCAATTATGTTTCAAGAGGAACTGGGGGCATGATCAAGATGTTTTGTTATTCAGGGTATTTGCCCAACAGAAGCTGTGTGCTCATGACCTCTGGTGGACTTCCAACAGATCAAAACTGCCCTAAGCATGTCATCATCAAGGTGATCATGATAATGTCTTCTAAGTTTCCCCTGATTTCAAGAGACATGTCAAGTGGGATCTCAAAGCAAGAGTAATGTTTAGGTATAACAGTTTAGAGTTGTTTGATTTCTACTTGTTTGAATAGCACACAAGGGGTGGAGCTTTGTAGGGCAATCCCTAAAGCTTCTTGTCACAAGATCCCCTCTGTTGAAGTTCTGTTTGACAGAATTTTCCTCTGAGTCTGACTGAGCAGTGGGTGTGTATAAATTCTCACTGGACCCGTTGATGGCTTACATCTTTTCCCCAGACACTGAGAGGGCTTATTTAAGTTGAGAAATATTGTAAAAAAATAGGCTTGTTTGAGACCTTCATCCCAGTGATCAAGAGTTGGGGGAAATGAGTTCTTGAACTGTTGAAATGAGAGTGGCATGAAGTGGTTTGAAATTTCCATTTGATTGTGGGTGGAATATGCTGGTACAATTCTGAATGATTAAATCAACCTTGTGAAAGTTGATGAATCTATAGGAGTTAAATTCACACTGAACATCATTCAACTTCCCCAAGTGGGAAGGGGAAAAATGATTAGGAGTATAATTTGTCATAAAAGGATCTATCACTGCACACCTGTGCCATCAAACCCACACTACACCTGCACTAATCCATACATTTTGGTTTTACATTGCTAACTGGTCATGTAAAATATCAAACCAGACAAAACATTTTGACCATTAAGTCCAAGGGCCAGCAGGTGACACATGTGAGGTAGTGTGAGGTTCACAACCACATCCTGATCTGTCAACACCAGGATCCATCATATGATCATACATACCCAGTCCACCATACCACTTCTCCACTGGTGTGCTTCTCTCGCTTGTAAGAGCATCCACTATCATGAAGGTGATTTAACTTAAGTTTTGCGTTCCTGAGCACGAAATTTAATCACGTGTGTTTTACCCAAGTTGGTAACCGCATGAAATCCACTACGGATTGATGTAATGTCTGATTTAACTACAATAAATCACTGTGAATCAACCAGATCCACAGTGGTTTGATTTTGAAATGATTTATCATATCTTTCTCGCAAATCCCATCCAAAAAACCATTCATCAAATTCCCACTACAAGTTCCTTGAAGAGACACATCAACTGTCTTTTGAAGTCTTCAAACCCCAATGATGAGGAACATCAAGAATTTGAGCAACTTGTCTTTGAAATCTTGTTTTATGGGCTTCACACACCACCTTCACCTTTTCAGACTTGATTCCAAACAGATTGAGCTCGAGCTCAGCCTACTCAGCAATTGACTATTTTGCACGTCAATTCTTAAGGTGTCTCACAAAACCTTAAGATGTAGGGTGTACATTCAGATTTCACTGTAGCAGAAGTTTACAAGAACTACCAGAGTGTCTCGTGGTTAAGTAATGATGATAATCTACACAAGTTGTGAGTAAAGTTGAAACAAGTTGAGTGAGATTCATTTTTATGACAGAAAAGATATGAATCCTAGATTGAAATCGATTCGATTCGAAGTGCAATGTTCCAAAATATGATGTATTGAAGTTGGGTTTTGAGGATGAATTTTTGAACTTTGAAGTTTGAACTTGAGGTTTTGACATTCAAAGGTTGAGAAACAAAGTTGATGATATGTATGCGGTTTGAAGTCTTGAGAACAGCAGTTCCAACTTGATTATCCTACGATAAATCAAGTCGTAGGCTTGCGTAGATTTGAACACGGGGACTGCAAGATTTGACGCGGTCGCAGGGACCGCATGTCTAAAACAGGTCCATAGTGGACCTGTCTGGATTTTAGCGTTATCGTAACGCTAAATCACGGCGTTAACGCACCCATATAGTGGATGCTCTAACCCATCAAGAGTGACCAGAAAATATGGATATTGTGCACATATGCCTCTTTGATTGCATACACTTTCAAAGTATTGGCTTTTTGTCTTGTGTAATTTTTTTTTGAGTAAAAATGAGAAAAGGGGAGGATTAAATAATTAATCAATTCATGATCATTCATCAACTTCAAACCCAATAAACAAAAAAATATTTGATCAATTTGAGCCAATTGATCATCAACTGACAAAACTTGCTTGTGTTATAGGGTGTCATTGCAAGCACCAAGTATGGATCAATTGTCATAGATTCAAATGTTGATATAGTGGAATCATAGTGATTTAGTCAACTACTAACAATGACTAATGGACCCAATGGTAATAGAACCCCAAGACTTCAATGAGATATTGCATTCTCCCACAAATTCCTTTCACTCTGATTTGGTTTTTTGGCTTCATTGCCTTTATCAGTACCTCCTACCTCTTTGCTTTCATGAACATATCCCAAACTTATAGCATCACTATAAGCCACCACAATGCACATCTACACCTCCTTCCCATTCTTCTACTTCATTCCCTTGCTTTTAAAATATCATTTTTGCATTGGCTTCATCTTCCATGGGTTCTTTAGGCCTAGAGCTATCTTTCCTTTCTTGTTATAGGAAATAGACTAAAATTATGTAAGAAAGTATTTAACAAGTTAGAAGAAAGGATAGACAAGACTTTGATGAGTTGAAAATCTTGTGATAATGACTTTGGACATAAAGATGAATTAGAGATGCAAATCCTTGATGGTGATGATGACAATAAACATAGAGTCAATGATCATGAAATGGAAGTATGTTGTGATTTCTAATCAATTGTTATTGGGTTTGTTTTGACTTTTTGAAACTCTTACCAATCTTGGACATGATGTGATTGGGTAAGATATGAGGATTGACCGTGCATATGTCTGGATAATTGTTTGGCTTACAACCATCCTTGCGTGCCATGAAGTATAGAATTTGTGATGAAATATTGAAAAAGTTTGTTGAATTTGTTATTTGGGTGGGCACACACAGGCCAAAAAATGTAGAGTCCAGTGTGACAGCTAGAAATACAGCAACAAGCTTAGTTTGTAGGGTTTTGGACTTGAATATGTTTGGTTCCTTTTTTTTGGGGATATGTAATAGGCTTCTTATATGCTAGTACCAGGGGCTCTGTATTCTCAGAGTATTAGAAGACTCTCAGTCTTGGAGTCTCAGATGAAATCCCTAGATTCCCCGGTGCTCCCAGATTTTTGCCCCGGGACACTTGCCCATTTGCAACCATTCTTGAATGCTCCCCTTTTTTGTGCTCTCTGTAAAAAGTCTCAAACAAACTCACTGAACTCATTCAAGCATGCATAGTTTTCATTTGGCTGTATACATCCTCACTGAAGCTTAAGGAGTCTGAAGTTTCAAGGAGGGACCTCGGGAGCCCAAAGAAGACCAGGACCGCCACAGGTTCTATAATTCAGTGGTAGAATGCCTGCTTTACATTGTGATGCGCAGTATGTCTTGGGTTCGATCCCCAATGGAATCATTTCCTTTTGCTCCTTTCAGACTCATGATGATGCCATGATCGAAACAGATGGCTTTAAAGACAGAGCATCACATGTGTGTTTTTAGTTCAATTTTCTGTTTATTGCTGTTGGTTATGAATATTGTTGAATGCCAAGCCAATCCCATTGCCTTGAAACAGTTGTTTGGCAACAGGAAGAGAGCTAAAAATCTGAAAAAATATGCACCTTGTTCCTAGATGTTGTGGCGTCATGACGAGTATTTTTTTGTATTTTACACACAGATATTGGTTAATGTACTAACAATAAAGGCTGAGAATCATCAAAAACCCACCTGTAACAATACCTGAAATTTGGCCCTTGACTTTGAAGACAGGATTTTGGAATCTTCAAACATCAATAACTTTTGCAGTTCTGAATTAAATCACTCGATTTGAAGTGCATTAAAAAGGTGAGCCTTTCCTCTACATTTTTCATTGAGACATCACATCTGTAGCTGGTCTAAAAAAGATCCTACAGAGCACTTCATGCAGAACTGTTTGAACATATGTAGAGTGTTTAAATGACTAGATAGCACCTTACTAACATTATGAAGTGTGAAGGAGAATAGTTCAGCTTTTGAATGAACCAAAAATCGAGGCATTTGGAGCAGAATTGCAAAAGTTATTGAAGTTTTTAGACCACAAAATATTGTCTTCATACTCATGACCCAAATTTCAGGTATTGTTACATGTGAGTTTTTGATGATTTTCAGCGTTTATTGTTAGTACATAAACCAATATCTGCGTGTAAAATACAAAAAAATACTCATCATGACGCCCCAACATCTAGGAACAAGGTGCATATTTTTTCAGATTTTTAGCTCTCTTCCTGTTGCCTCAGGACTTTCCTATGTCAGTAGTTTTCTTTACCGCCGGGTAAAGATTACATTTGGTGTAGTGTTTATTGCTGTTGGTTATAAATTTTGTTGAATGCCAAGCCAATACCATTGCCTTGAAACAGTTGTTTTGCCATTAAAAAGAAGTTCCATGTCTTGACACATTTATTGGCTCTGTGTGAATAGTTTCTAAAGAAAATCTGGCTTATGAAATTACGGTACTCATGGAGCTACATAGTTACACATATATAGTTGTCATATATATTTTTTTTGGTGGGGAAAATAAAACAAATATACATTTGGACATGTTTTCCCCGCCAAAAAAAACTATGTAGCAAAAAGCATGTACGTGTACATACTTGCTTTGAGTACCTTAAATCATCATAGGAAAAAAATGGTTTCACTAATCCAAAGATGAGACAAAATGAGAGAGATATAAGAGAGGCTTTTAATGTGTTCGACCTGCTTGTAAGTACAATTTGATGGTACTGTTTGATTTGGGTACAGTTTAAAGCAATTGAGACATGTCACAGTCTTTGTTAGCTTTGGGGTAATGCATAGATGTTTCATGTTTGTATGTATGTCTTTTGGAAACTCATTGGTAGTGAAGGAGGTTAATAAAAATTGCTGGGCGGCTTGGATCATCATCATGAGGTATCTCTGAGCTTTTTTGTAGTTATTATGGCTGAATCTCCAAAGGAGGTGAAGCCAGACCAATACCCAAACTGCCCTGCTTGAAATAGTGGTTTTGGAGCATTTATGGCACCCGCTAAGACCTGCCCAGTCTATAGCGGGGCCTGTGCACCAAATTCAAAAGTTGGGTTTTTTGATAGCAGAAAAACCACAATAAAATGGATTGGGGTTTTGGGTTCTCCGCTATATAGCATAGAATCAGACCCATGAGGAGGGTAGAGGATTGTCACCCCACCCCTTCACTAGACGCCTTATACCACCCACCATCACCTCTTGATCCTAGGTCAATCAACACCTTCACAACCAATGGAACACAGCCCCTGGAATACTGCTTGGGAGGCAACATGTGGTTCATCAAGCTCCAACTGCCAAATGTTAGTATATTTGATACTTATCTTTTGGCCAGTAAGATCCAATCTTCCCAATCAATCAATTGGATTATGAGACACTTGCTATTATCTTCTTTTTATTCATTTAAAATCATTTTTAAAATCATTTATAACATCATTTATAATAGAAGAATGCCCCAAGCCTGCGACGGTATTCTAAAGTCCATTTCAGAGGCGGGGCCAGTTGGAGATACTAAAGAGCACGAGATGCTAAGAGCATCGGTACCGGGTTAGGATACCCGGGAGTGTATAGAGTGAGTGGTAATATATTGAATATATTAACCAAAAAAAATTCATTTGCAATTTCTTTCGCACTCACCTCTTCTAGCTCTAGTATCACAACTCCTCACTTGAGTTGTTTACAACTCTTTCCTTTTTCTTTTTCTTTTTTCACCCACCCGCCTCCTGGAAGAGAAGTCCCACAGGTCTTTTACGATCGCCATGGAAGGGGTACCCAGGATAAGAGGAATAGATTGACATTCCTATACCTGGGTCCCCCTACCAGGGCCACCCCCACACCCCCGTAAGTAGTATGTTGAGTAGCTACATATTAGTTAGATGTTTGATGTACAAAAGCGGAGGTCGTAATAAATCTTAAAAGACGGATCTCATGAATATGATGTCTACATAAATAAGAATTTATAGTGACAATAACAGAGAAGGTTTGGAAGTCAAAACCTTCTTGCTAAACCTGTTTATGGTAAACTTAAACTAACCCCCCTCGTAGGAGTGGAACATCATTTATAACATCATTTATAATTGTCTTTGATTGTTCATAAAAATTTGATCAATGACCATCTCAAAAACGCCGTCTACCCAATACTCCTCCAAAGGTTCTAGTCTTCAAGTTCCCAGTTTACCCAGTTCTAGAACTCTTAGAACACCAAGCCCTGCTCAATCCTAGCCAGGCTTTGTGGCACCCCCCAAGGAGTCACATCCTACTCTAATTATTCGTTTAGATGGTGACCAACATGGTCCTCTTGGTTATAGGTCTGCATCACCTTGACTGTCAGCTCTTACAATAAAGAAGAAGACCAGCAAAGCTCCTGTTGCAGCCAATCCAAATGGAAAAGGAAAGGTAAGTTTTATTTCTCAGACTCATCATAATCCTAATCAATCACATTAGACTGTTTTATTTTTCTAGGCTTGCTCTTGAACTAGCAAATAAGCCTGATCACCAATGGGCAATTCAAAGTGTGGTTCAACCTCACCTAGACCAAGCAAGAAGGCAAATACATACATAAGTTTACTATATCTTTTTCATAATATCTATCACTTACAAATCATCACAACTGATGGTTTCATGTAGGCCTATGAGGTACCTGACAATGTCAACTTGAATCAAAATTCTGATACTGAGTTTGTTGGGAACAATGACCCTGGCTATATGGAAGTTCAAAGTGACCAAGTGCAAGACCTACTCAAGTTCTTTGATCCTCCTGTGGTGATTTTTTTTCTCATTTCTCACTTTCCATATTTTAATTTCTTTCTTCACATCTCTTTAGTTTTTATTTAGCCAAGCTGATGTTGTCTGATTTTGTCAAATCTAGGGTTGTAGTTTCAAGTTTGGGTGGTGCAAGAACACGTTCTTGTGTCACCCCACTTCCTGCTGGAATTCATGGGGGCACGTGCTATAAAGATATCAAAGCTGGTTCCATACTTCCACCCACATACAATGACCAGGTGGCAGAAGACAGGAAGAAGGACACAACCTTGGACTCATTTATCAAAGGACCGGTCTTTTTGTTTGACTTTTTGAATATGATCCTTGTCATCTGGATTGTTTGACATGCGCTCCCATGGATACAATTTCAAGACCTGGCTCTCTGGGTGGCCTTCCATTGTGTTGATTGTGGTGCAATTGTGCAATCAACTGCTTGGGCCACCAAACAGTCTGTTCATCTGTTTGAAGCCTTGTACAACAATGCAATCAACAACCTGAATGTAAGTAAAATCGTGACTTTATTCCAGAAGCACTTTGACTGACTCATTGAAATTTGACAGGAAAACAAAGACAAATTTTGTTCAATCCACAATGTTTGGACCACCAAGGGCAATCACTATGCCTTTGTTGGAGCAACAGCAAACTATATTGACAATAATTGGGAATATCATTTGACCCATCTCACCCTCAAGATGATGGGATGGCAACATTATGGGGCTCTGCTAGCCAGACTCATTGGCTGTTTCTTGTTTTGACATGGACTTCACAAAAAGATGAGTCTATTGTTCTTATCATTTCTTTCATCTTCTTTGCCTTCTCACCTACTATTGCTTACCTCTGTTTGTATCATACTTACATATTAGCTCAGACTACCAATATTGAAGGAAATAACTCCACAATGGCCACCAAGCTGCAAGGAATGTTCCCAGAAGATGAATATTTGGGCTACTGGTCTAGCCAAACTCATCATGTGTGATGTTATAATGAACCAACTTGTTTTGATTCAACTTCTAATTTCCTCTGTTTTGTTTTTTTCCTTTAAACTCATTAAGTTCAAATTTAATTTGATTTACCATGTTGAAAAGTTTGAAACTTTCATTAACAAAACTATAAATGAAGTTTACATGTCAGAGCTGGTACAGAGATAAGTTGGAAGTGAAGAAGCAAGAGTGAGATGATTGATCAATGAAGATGAACCCAAACATTCCAAACATATGGAATGTTGTGTCTTTTCATACACACAAATGAGAAATTTTCTCACCATGATGTACAGCCATTCCAAGAATGGTTGATTGGAAATTTGTAAAAAGCTCATCAGCACAGCAGATAAAACAACTGTAACTGGTTTTGCCAGTTTTCCCTAGAATCAACCTGATTGCACCTCATGTGCACATTGAACTTGCCACAACCCTGACTACATATGTCAAATCCTACTACCATATGAGAAAAACTTGTTCTTGTGGCTAGCCATGAAAGCCAAACAACAATCATGAAGGATTTAGCAGATGTATTTCAAAAGATGTGAAATGACTGGTCACAAGGACACATGACATCCATGGGATGATCCTCTGTCTTCCATATTGCTCAACCTTGTCAAAAGAAAAAAACTTGATAAAACCAACAGCATGTGTTTTGCACAAGAGAGAAATTTTGAGAAAACAAATTGACCTTTCTTGGAACAGCTGTAAAAGTCACAGTGAATACATAATTAATGCGACTTTTTTTTGTCAAAGGGGGTGGTACATATGTGCTTGGCAGCGTGTGTTTTGTTTCATTTCCCTAGAAGAGGAAACACCGAGCAAACACCGAGCAAACAATAGGTTTCCATCCATAGAAAAAACAATGCATTAGATGGATTGTTTTGTGCTACAAACTCAGTGAACGTCAGCTTGACTTCAAGTTGAAGAAAAGCTTCAAAAATTGCCATTCCCGTTCTTTTAATTTTGTAACCTCTCATGCAAGTATTTTGAAAAGCATCTGCCTATCCAGCTTGTATGTGTTTCTTTGAAGGAAGTCGAACTGAAGATTGTTGTCTTGATTGAGATGATAAGAAAAATAAACCACTGTGTATGATGTCTTTCAAGTTGCGTTGAAATTGAATCGGTGGCGTTTCTGTGCCTGTGCGTCACCACTGAAATTACACCCTCATTAGTAGCATATGTTGACCTTACTGAAACTTGGTATTAGTCTTATAGCGTGGTGACCGGAGAAGTGGACTATAAAAACTCAACGATCGACCGAGAGCTGGGGTGGGTTTTTTTCTTTTTTCTTCACTCGATCCAGTGTCAAAACCAAGTTCCCTACAAAAAAGCAAATTCAATACATTCAAACCCAGTTCCCGTCCCTGTTCCCTTCAAACAATAAACAATAAAAAAACACACTTCAAGATCACTTCATTTCGATAACAAAAAGAACCTTTTAGTTCTTCTTAGAAAGGCAACTCAAAAGATTTCTCGATCTCTTTAGTTATCAAACTTTTTTTGTTTTTTTGTTTTAACGTTTACGAAGAAGAAATCACTTTTCAAAAGTTGTTCTTCTTATTTCTTTAAACTATTTGATCAATTCCTCATTGATCTATCTTCAAATTATCAAACACAACCCAAAACTATCAAAAACACAAAAATAAATCGTTTGTCAACTTCTTCATTCTTTCTTACTGGTTTTCCCATTTATTAACATTGGGTTTTCGTTCTACAGGGCTCCCTTCGAATCCTTTTTGAAAAATCTCTCGTAAGTTATTATAATTCTTGATGCTGAAAACCAAAAAGTAGATCTGAAACTTAATCTGGATCGGTTTGTGATTACAGTTAAATATATTAAAATGGCTCAAGTTTCAGACAATGCTGCTCCTACTGCAAATGGTCATGATGATGGTGTTGCTGCCATCACTGATGCCTTAGAATCTACCAACTTAGAATTAGGCAGAAAGGTTTGTGATCTACCTTTTACCACTTCATCGATGCTTAAATTCTGACTTGGCCTGCTCCTATCTGTTTATGATCTTTATAGATCTTTGTCGGTAATTTGAACTTTACCACCAAAGAGGACCAATTGAAAGAACTCTTTGTTGCTCATGGTTCAATGTACATCTTCCCTTTCATCTCGAATCACTTCTATCTTAAGCTTTATTGACGATTTGGATCGGGTTTTTTAGTTCGGATGTACAAATCATTCTAAGAGGCACTCGGTCTTTAGGATACGGTTTTGTGACGTTTGATAAGGCAGAAGACGCTGAGAAAGCGGTGGCTGCGATTGACAAGACTGAGATCGATGGTCGTACTGTCAATGTTGAGATTGCTAAACCTGCCCCGGTACGTCCGTTTTTGGCAAAACAAACCAATAGGACCGTTTTTGGATGTACTGACTGAAGTTTTTTGAATTGATCATATAGGGTACCCCTGGTGGTCCGGCTCCAAGAGGTGCAAAGAAGAATGGAGCAGCAGGTGCAGAGGGTGAAGAGAATGGAGAAGGTGCCCCTCGTGGGTCAAAGGTAAGGCAATTTGATCTGGATCCATATTCCACCGACATATTCTCATACCTCTTCTATATATGACATTGTGATAGCCAAGACGTGGGCGAAATAGTCGTGGACGTGGAAGAGGCCGAGGTCCGAGATCAAGACAAACAACTGATGGGGCCAAGACCGAACAAGACGGAGCCGAAGCAGGTCAAGCTACTGAACAATCTGGTGAAACCCCAGCCGCACCTGCTAAACGTGGCGGTCGCAGTGGTCGTGGTCGTGGAGGAAATCGATCTGCTCGCAGGGAAGGTCCCCCAGAGGGAGAACCCAGCAAGGTGTAAGTTTATTTAAAAAAATGTTGTTCTAACTTTGGCTGACCGATTGCTCCACTTAATTTTTAGCCTGTTATTTGTGGCCAATTTACCCTTCTCCCTTACAGATGAAGGATTGAAAGATTTCTTCAATGCCTATGAAGTTACCTCCGCACATGTGGTACGAAGGAAATTTGGTCAATCAGCTGGTAAATCAAAAGGGTTTGGATTTGTTGAATTTGCAAATGAAGCTGCACAACAGAAGGCTTTAGAAGAAAGTCAAGGAAAAGAAATGAATGGAAGAGAATTACACATTAAAGTGGCGGTGAATGAATTGAAGGATGAAAAGGATGAAGAAGTGGTGGTGGTCGCTACCTCTCCTCCAGACGAAGCGTAAAAATGTTGACATCTTTACCTTGCTATTCATTCTTCGATCATGATTAACTTTGATGGAGTTTTTCCTCGGGTTTGACATTCATAATCTTACTCCTTACTCCCGGATCGAATAAAGAAGAAAAGAAAGAGAAAAAAGTCATTCATTTATTTCGTTTGGAATCTTTTTCATGTTTTTTTTTCTCTTTCTCTTTTTTGTTTTGTTTTGAAGGGTTTACTTTTTGTTTGAGTTACGTTGAATGGGTTTTTGATCAAAGAAAATGGGTAGGAGATGGGTACGGTTCTTTGATTGATTGTTGGTTCACGTTCTTTTTTATTTAGTATATTGAGGGAAAGGTGAAATGGACTCAATCCATTTTGTTGAATGCTAGAAAACTCATCAGTTATGAATGGAGGATGTCAAGTCTTTTTTGTTGAAGTTTGATCTTGAAATTCAATTTTATAGCATTGCATCGCATTGAAATAATCAGGGGGCTTCAAGAGAACCTTCCAAAGCAAAATGCTCCATAGAAATGCCGCAAATTTAAAAAGAAAGAACTGTGAAGAGATCTCGTCGAAGAATTGCTTGCGTAGAGTTCTCAATCCTTCACATAGTGCAGAGGCCTGTAGCATCAGAATGTCTAGGTTGAACTTGAGTGACAATAAGATGTGAATTCTTTTGCCAAAGCCTTTTTGCAACGCAGCCAACAAATTTAACTTGGATCTTTCAATCTGAGTTATTTTCTGGCACAAAACAATACCATGCATTTCATGACCAAATTTTCCTCAAACTGAAGAAGGATGGATTTCAATTTGAGAGTTCAAATTTAATTACAATTGAAGATATGACCATATCATGTCAACAGCTCTTGAAAAAAGTGAAGAAGATTTTTTTTATAATGGAATTCAAATCTATTGGATGGACAAATTAAGATGTTGAGAGCCATTAAGGTGTTCAGACTTCAACAATACCTTCTCTGGGGATCCATCATTTGTGCATAGAAAGCATGACTTGTGTGTATGGGAAAAGAAGTAGCTGCTAGATGTTATGATTGTAAATGCAAAAGATTCATAAAAAAACAATAGAAAATTCAATGAATCCATGAGATTTAATGAAAGGAAATATCAGTAGTGTTGCAGAGGTTGAAACCTATTGGTTGTGAGCTTCAGAGGATGTAAACATCATGGCATAAATCATAGTTTACAAACCCTTCTGGAGTCTATCTCACATTGATTCTGGCTCTGCAGGCTCATTGAGGTCAGGAAGAATGAAGGCTTGCCTATCAGCACTTGAAGATGAGGGTGGTTCCATCCTCTGGACAATGTTACGAGCTCCCGCTGGTTGGTATTTGAAAGATCTTTGTCAGATGTATAATTAGAGAAAAGATGGAATGAGTAATATGTGCACCCTTACCTTGATCATTGCCTGGAGTTTTACATCTTGGATCTTGAATCACATTTTGTTTGTCTACAAAAAGATCAGAGTGGATGGTGCTTTTTATACCATCTAGCTTTGTTTCCCTCATATTCAAAATATTTTTTGGGATCTGGGTCTCATCAATATCTGATGGTTGGACATATTCAACACGCTTGGTCCTTGGCTTTTTTGAGACTGAGGTGAGGTGCATTTGTTCTGGATCATCATGCATTAGGACCTTTCTTTTTGGTGAAGGACTATCTGAAGCTTTGTCAGATTTAATTTCATGATCCATGATTTGCTTTGAATGATTTTCTTCTCTCTTTCTAGCAGCCATAAAATTTAGTCTATTTATTGAGTCCATACTGAAGTCCAAAGGACTTTGTCCCAAGCTTTCAATTTCTTCAGGGGAATGACCTATGTTACTTTGAACAAGATTGTTAATAAAATTTGGAGTGGATGAAGTATATGGCATTTCCCTGTCTGAGTCCTGAGTAGTGCTCATGGTCTTATACAACTTGTTCAGCTTTTGTGAAGATAAAAGGTGATCAAGATAAACTCTTCCAAGGCCAAGCTGCATCCACTTAGCTTTGTTGTATCGTTTGTAGCTGACAGTGGGTGGTTTGTAAAGTAATAAAGACCAATAGTACATCATACACTGTGCCTTGTGCACTCTTTTTCCAGGTGGAGTTGGAGTAAATATCCTAAATACCTCTTCAAGTACTTCTCCCATCCTTCTTACAAATAAGTAAAACATCACACTATTTTCTATCTGAATTTCAGCCTTCTTGGGGTCCACGTTACGTGGTGAAAGATACTTAAATTCTAACTGCAATATATGCCATAATAGTACCTGAGCTTCGGGATTGTTTTCTTCCAATTTGGACACTAGGTTGATGGATCTTGAGATACTCCTCCACATTGTCTTATATCCTGAGTCAGTTGTCATTGCCATGAGTACTTGGTACTCTTTCATTGTTATGACTTCTTTTGGAAACTTGATCTTGCTCTGAGAAAAATCTAACACAGGTTTTCTCAATTCCAAAGCAATTTCAAGATCTGATTTTTCAAGTTTTGACCAGATCTTGTGTACTTGATCCTCAATTTCAGCAGGGTTCCAACCATCAATCTCAAAAGGAAATCCAAAGATTGGAAGATGAAGTGGTCTGGGATAACTGTGTGGTTTATTGTTTATGAGGTAATATTTTAGATTTGAAGGTTTTGAAGAATGTTCAAAAAGGATTCCGTTTGTTTCATGTAATTTCATATCACTGGGTACCATTTTCAAGATGACATCCTTGTCCTGGAGACCAGCAGCAGCCAAAATATCAAAGACTTCAACCAACTTCATGTATTTCTGGTACATTTTAGACCATTCAACATGCTCTGTATTTCCAACTTGCCCCTTCCATTCATTCATCTTTCCTACTAAGGGATGCATACCTGTATTCAAGTCTACAGCCTTATCTCTAAAATTTTGCATCCATAGATATAGACCCGATTGTGACATAGTCACATCCATGAAGGTATAAATTAATGTACCCTTCATGCTCTGTCTGTTTACAACAAAAGATTCTTTGAAATTTTTGAGTAATGTATCATATATATGATCTATCTCTTGGTGATAAATTTGAGGTGAATGTGCCTTCAGAACTTGTTTGAGTTGAGACATAAGAAGAGAAATCGATTCAAGTGATTTATATCTAGGCTTCAGTACAATATCTTGAGATTTGATTTGAGTCCCATCAGGTAGGTATGTTGGATCCTTTGACAATTGTTGCACAAATTCTGCTACTTTCTTTCTAAATATCCAAGGATCCTTACGGTGTCTAACCACTTCTTCAATTGTTCTTAAATCTCTCCATGTATTGAGATGCTCTTGTTTCAACAAAGCTTTGTCCAAAGGTGTGCTAAATTCTTTATCATAAATTGATGAATTAATTTATAGTTATCAGTTTAATATCCTAATATCTCATGATGAGATAGGTGACACATTGACACATATTTGACTCACCAGTGATTGGTTCCTGCAACTGATGAGTAGATTCTAATATGGATAGATCCATGCCCCCATGTGATACTGATCTTAAAGACAAAGAGCACTGTAGAAACACAGCAATAAACGTCCACAGAAGGTATCTTGGCCTCTGATACATCATGTATATAGAACTTTGGTTCTGGTTTCACTTCAAAGTGTAATGAGGTCAAAAGAGTAATGCTAGAATGTGTTTACGTTAAAATGAATGGTTTCTTATATGCAGCTGAAAGGGATTATATTATGGGACTGGATGGAAGACTGAGAAAGTGATTATTTGTCTTTCTAATATGGGTTTTGAGCCAACCACAAGGTCATATCAAGGGGCTCAGAGCTGCTGTTGTTAGAGAGAGCTCATATTACATAAGGCTCTGATATTACAGAATTTTGAATCATGTAACACCAGACAAAACTGCTCCTTGTCAAGATATTTTGTATGTATAACCTCAAACTGTGTGTCAAAGTAACCAGATTGAAACCCCATTTGCTTTACTATATTTAAAACCTAAGCAAGCAGTATGATGTTTGGATGAAAGAATACAATACAAATCTCACCTGATTATTTGGTATGATGAAACTTTTATCAGGGCTCTGCTCAACTATGGCAATACACATCATATCTCATATTACATAAGTCTCTGACATTACAGAATCTTGATTGATGTAACATTCAACCAAACTGTGCTTTATTCATCTATAACCTCACACTTTAAACCAAAGTATCCACATATCACAGGGGCAAAAACAGATGCTCACATAGGTGTGAGCATTGAAATTTTTGTGTTTTCTTCAATGTTTGTTCAATTTTACTTCCCATTTCTTTCCCATTTCTTTCCTATTTCTTTCTGCTTGTCAACTGATTTTGTGATCAACAGGAACTGAGCAGACAAACTAAGCCTTCCTCAGGCGTTATTCCTGAGCAAAGAAGTCTGAGGAAGGGCTGATCCATCTGCTCAGCTGATCCTGAGCGGCATTCCCTGGTTCAGTAGGTTCCAAGGGACACCACTAATGATTAGATTAAGGGCTGAGCTGAACTGAGTATTCCCTTAGCTAAGTCTCTGCAGCATCTCTTGGACGGATCACAGAGGGCCAGGCTTGCCTCAAGCTTCATGGCTCCGGAATGAAGCCTGAGGCCCATCTGCTCAGTTCAACTGAGCTGCTCAGCTATTCCTCAGTGGCATTCCTGAGATCAGAAGGATCCAGAGGATTCCACTGCTCATTGGCTGAGGGGCTGCTCAGCTAGTCCTGAGGGGAATTCCTGGGATCAGAGGGATCCAAAGGATGTCACTGAGTATTGGCTGAGGGGCTGCTCAGTTGATCTCAGCCCCTCAGTGTGAACAGCTTTATCCAGGGAAAATCACTGAGGATTAGTTGAGCAAATGGGATGGCTCTTTTATCAGGCTTCATTCTTTAGCAAAGAAGTCTGAGGGAAGTCTGGGCCATCAGCAATTCAGCCAAGGGATGCTACTGAGTATTTGCTGAGCAGCTCAAAAGGGACACCCGTGTTCAGGCTTCTTCACTAAGAAATGAAGCCTGAGGAAGGTATAGTTCATGTGCTCATTTTCATTTTGAACAAATTGCTGAGTATGCAGTGACTCATGAGCTGATCCCAAGTACTCATCTGGACTCAGTTAATTATTGCTCATCCAAGATGAAAATGGGCCTTCTCAAGAAATGTCAAGCAAAATATAAGCAACACAGGCTGATCACCTGAACACAACCAAAATTGCAAATTGAATGAATCTGAAAGAAAATGAATCTTTTTTGGAGAATTCAAAAAAGTCTACAATGCTCACATGTATGTGAGCATCAATTTTGGCCCCTGTGTATACAGCATTGTATTTTGGGTAGGAATTGGATTCTGATACTCGGCGCCTACACTCAGGCTGAGCTCCAAAACTGATGCCCCTTGGGGAACCTGTACCCCCTACCATTGGGGCCGGGGTTTGGGAAAGTTAATTAGCCCCCAATGAATCTAGACTCCAAGTGGTTATGAGTGCAGGCAGATCATTGAGCAGAACCCATATGTTTCAGGGGTCCCTGACTGGTCTCTTGGTCTAGTGTCAAGCTCTGGGGGAGTAGATAGGTTGGGAGTTTTTTGGGGCAGGGAGATATTCTGGTGATCAGGTAAGTATTTAAGCCTTCATGTCTCAGAGATGTGACACCTAGACCTTTTTTCTATGCAAATATTGCCATCACTGCTAACAAAGATACCATGAATTCAAAAATCCAAGGCATTGTTGAGTATAAATCCCCTCAGCCGCATAGTCCAAGGAAACAATCTGAAGCATTCTTTGGACCTGAAAAATGCCTTGGATCAATTCATCTGATGCTATGTCCAAGGCTATCACCATCCACGCATACCTCAGATTTTCGGATCAAAGGCATCTTTTCTTGTGGTGTATGCAGTCACATACACAGTTGCTCTCATATACTGGAACTTTTAGCAAGCAGTACAATTAGGGTATGCAAATATGTTCTGGAAATTTCCAGAAGGTTTTTTCCAGAACGCCAGAAGTTTTTTTTTGGTGTGTTCTGGTGTTCTGGCATTTGGCAAATTTGAATGCACCACACTTCCAGAATGCCAGAAACCCCATAAACACAACCCAACTCCACCAGCTCACCCCTCATCCCCACTCACCTCAGCACCAAATCACATCACCATCAGCTACTTCATCTCATCACGATTCACTGTGGTCACCTCAAATCCACAAGTCAATCAGGCATTTGAGATACAACATTTTTGGAAGATTTGAATCAATTTCTATTGAGAAAAGATGTTTGAGTCAATTAGAGAATTGAAACCAAATTTTTGAGGAATTCAATCAATTTTCAACTTCTTTGTGAAGTCGGTTTTCAGACAAATCACAAAGACAGTCAACATGAAATGAATTTAAAACAAGCAAAGCCTCCAAGTAGGTAACAAACATGGTTTTCAAAGAGATTGTTTTGGAAACAACAATCACATTAGTTGAAAAGTTGTCTGAAATTAACAAATAAAATGAGATCAACAACGATCGTTTTAAAAAAGCAAAACAAGACTAACACCAATAATTTTAATTCAAAAAGGTACATATTTGCAGCTTAACACCAAGTCAAATGACAATTGATTTTGTGAGCTTGAAGATCTTGTTTCCTTTTGAGAGACATTTGAAAACTAAGAAACAAGTATATACAAATTGAAACTGATGAATCTTTCTCAAGATGAGTATACATTTAAAAACCTGCTTCAAATCTTAAGGGCCGAGGTTTTGAAAGTCAAAGGCCAACAGTGTGACAATTGGATTTTTGTGAGGGCTGCTTGGTTGGCTGAAGGTGGGGAATCACCGTCGATCACTTGATCCAGACGGCTGCAGATTTTGAATTGTGTTTTCCCAAATGCCAGAAGGGTCCTGGCGTTCTGGAACAAACCTTCTGGAAATTTCCAGAACATATTTGTATACCCTAAATATATCTTTAGAGAAAATCAATAACATCTAGGCCATCGCCCGACCCCGGAATTTTGGGGAGTCCCCGGCTCCCGCCCCCGCGGGGGCGGGTTTCGGGATGGGTTTGGGAAGGAAAATCCCGCGGGGACCAGCGGGGGCGGGAGCCGGGAACGATGGCAATTCCCCACACTCCCCGCCGTTTTAGGCAAATTTTTGGGGGACAACAAGTCATTGGCAAAGGTGTAGTTCATTCCATATAAGACAGCACTTTTGTACTTTAAATCACATATAGAACTCTGTTTTCAATTTCCTATCAATTTCCTATCCTATTTGTAATCAAGATCCTTTTCATTTATTCATCGAGGCCATTGAAATAAGCTGGGCCAAAGGCGCGGTACTACTCTTTAACACAAAGAAGACGCTCAACTGTATCAGGATTAAGTGCTGATCTTGAATATTGGAGGACAGCCCTGCCTTTGGAAAAGACGTGCTCGGCAGGGCAGCTTGTGGTTGGAATGGCCAGGTAAGCCATTGCCATGGCAGACAGGGCAGGGTAAGCCTTCACCCTTCCCTTCCAGTACGCAAGGATATTGTTATCCTTGTGTTCAAGCGGCTCCCAAAGATAACGAGCAATCTCGTTTGTGACTGAATTGTTGTCGGAGATCTCTGGTACGCCAAACAGGTCGTCGTCAAGTGATGTAGCGGGGGTGGGAGCTGGTGAATGGGTGTTGATTATCTCAGGAGTCGCAAAGCTGGCATAAGCCTGTGCAGCTTTGATGAAGTCTGCCTTCAACAAGTCAGCCGAGTGCCCACAGAGCGCAAGAGAGTCAAAGTGAGTTTTGTAAACCTCCAATTTAACACGAGGATCTAGAATAGTTGAACAGACGGGGCCTGGTTTCTTCAAGGCAGCAATTAGGTACGTTTGAAGTTTGTCAATCATGTCATCTGCTGCTGGGATAAGCTGACCAATGTCATATGTATGGTGTACCTTCGATTATCAAATCTTGGATCCAATCAGCTTGAGAAACCGGTGAATAGTGGTAAAGAAAACTTACCGCTTGTAATTTGTTGATCACAACAACATAGATAGGAATAACACTGTTGATTGTAGGGTACCTGGTTGCACAAAGTCGCTTGGTCGCATCATTAAGCGGTTTGAGAAAGTTGATCATAACTTCAAGCTGCTTCCACTCGATTGGAGTCAACTTGAACTTCGCTCCCTCAGGAGTTGCAGAGAATTGATCACAGGCAGTCCTCTGTGAGAAAGAACAATGTCAGCATACAAAGGTGAGTAAGTAAGCTATGTTGAACGTACCTGAGTAACAAGGCACGCTCAAACATAGCGCAGGTGGAGTTCCAACGAGTTCGCACATCAAGGATTAGCGTTTGAGCCGCAGTAGGTGTAGAAGCGTTAGGTGGGAACAGTTGAATGAAGTTCTGAAACGACTCCAGGCGCTGAGGGCTGCCGCGAGTGTAAGTAGAGATACCATGAATGCGCTTGTAAACAGAAGCCATATCGACATGGGCTCCATCAGGTGTATCCACCAGATGGTTGATGGCCATCGGATTTGCTGGGAGATTGGCGCTGTCGTCTGAGGAATCATCAAGTGGCCCAAGAACTTTGAGTCCAGCAATCGCAGCTAGATTTAGAACGTGTGCTACACAGCCTAGAAGGTTCTTGTTGGCCTTGAAAGTCCCACCCAAAGCAGCCTCAATCTCTTTTGCCATAGTTTTGTTGGAGGATGCATTATCCGTGGTGATCGAGGCGAGATTCTTCAGACCTCCATAAGGGGCAATTGTTTCCATAAAAAATTCCACAAAGTTTTTGCCCGTGTGGGCTCCTGAAAGAAAAAACAAATCAGTCAAAAGTTAAACTTCAAATTATTTGAATAAAATTGTATAACTGACCCTGGACGTGAGGAATGCGGAGAAGGACATCAACCTTCTCAAAATTTGAGTTGATCATATGAGCCGTGACCGCCATGAACGCCGTATTGTTTGGCGCTGTCCACGCATCGAGTGTGTATGAGACGGCAGGAGCTTCAGCGAGTAGTTGCCCTTGGAGGTGTTCTTGATGAAAGAGAAACACCTCTTGCAAGTGTCGAGTTATAGCATCTTCCTTGACTATCATGGAAGTTGTTTTGGCGTTACAAAGTCTAAGTAACGTAGTAACTGACTTCTTCTCAATCATCGCAAACAAAAGATCACAATCGGAAATAAGATAACAGATTGCTGTCTTTAGAGAAGCTGTAGTCAAGCAAGGCTTCAAAATGAAGCAAACAAACATGGATGGAAGAGACTGGAGTGAGAAGAAGGAGAAAAGTATGAAGAATGATTGAAGGATGAAAATAATCAGAGAGACACTTACCATGCTTTTTGACTTCCCACTTTCCAAGAATTGCTGGATCATGCCCATCCGTTTTGCCCTCTTGTTGGGATCTCCAAGCTTATGTTTGGCGGTCAGATGATCCGACATCCCTTTTGTGCTTGATCGTAGGTCACAAACGAGTAATGCTCCACATTCTATCCCATGCTTCGATGTCACAGTGCACTGAACCTTCTTGCTGCACGCTGTAGGGCTAAAGTGAGTCCAAACCCAGCTTCTCTTACCGTTGTTAGAGGCTGTGTTGATATGAGAATCTTCGACTTCTGGAGCATCTCCAGCCTGACTAGCCGCAGAATCACCGGTGAGATCAATTTGGTCCATGATATCGATGAGGGGATAAAGTGATTTTGGTCATTCAAACTTGAAGGGAAGTGGCCATAAATAGCTGAAAGAAAGGGTAAGAGAAAGGGGAAAAGGGAAGGTTTCATCTAAACCTTCCCATTGAATCACAGTTGTCGCGTCTCCTGGTCCGTCTGAGTCCGGTTCTACCATTTTAGACTATTAGTGAATTACTTTCTTGATTCGAACGAGTTTGAGAGTCTAGAGGGCGCTAGAGGAGGTGTGAGACGAGCCGTGATGGAGTCTTCTGACCCCTTGGGTTCTTTTTTTGGGCTTTTTTTTTAAAATTTTTTAAATTTTTTAGGGTGCTCCCTGCAGCCCCCGCATACCCTGGCGGGGAGTGCGGGGGCGGGCCTCTGTAAGGGTACACAAGTACAGGCACGATTGGGGAATTTAAGGGTCGGTACAGTAAAATTTACCGTACCGAAGCCCTTTACCGAGACGATAGGAGATGCTCTTACTCCTCTGAGAGCCTATCCACGGACTTTCTGGAACCAGCTCGTAATTCAACTAAACGAAGTTCCAAGTTAATTGTCCGTTTGTGCTCTCTCGAGAAGTCGTGCCGGAATCTTATCCGGACTTTAGTGAAGGTTCTCAGGAAACTTACACTTTTTTTAACTTGATCACTTCGATAAAGTTACAATAAAAATTTTCACACTACTCATTATCTCTCTGTCGCTTTTATCCTTTGGGATACTCTGTCAACCATCTGTCCATCTGCCACCTGCGAATGTCGCACGACCGTCAGTCCTGTCAAACTTGAGCTTATTAGTCTGTCGATCAATACCTGGAAGACCTTGTCGATCGCTCTGTTTACCTGCCAATTGGATGTCTGGACCGTTATCACGAAAGCCTGATAACTATTTGGACGATCCCGACTCACTATTACGACAAGCTCAAAAAGAAAAGGCCAAGGCAACCGTTGTAGAAGATTTGGACAGCCCAGCAGCGGGACAACCTCCTAACTACTCTTGGAGACCTGAGGCCTCGGTTTCGGGATCACCAGCGGCGTTATCTGACCGCGTCGTCTACGCCTCCTCCTTTGTGAAAAGTAGCCCAGACCAAACCCAGAAATCGAAATTCTTGCCTATAGAACTATCACCATCTTTGCCTGAAAGTACTGTCATAAATCTTCATTTCAAGAAATTACTCGGACCTACCTATACACCACACCCGCCTGGATATCTCCCGGAAGGCACTCCACCACAACAAAGATCCATCACTGCGACCCGGACTCTAACCGCTGATCCTACTAACTCGATGTCACGAGAAGAGGACGCAGAGACCATTCGGGTCCTAAGGTCGCAAATAGACGCATTAGAGCAACGCACAGCTCAGCTAGATCAGTCGAGACAAGAAACGGCCGACTTACAGAAGTTGGTTCGTGAGTTACTAGCGGACAAGAGCCGCGTAGCAAGCGTTGAGAACGTTGCAGAAGCCGACAAGTCGGGTGAGGCCAATGGGGATCAAGCTGCTGGCTCCAACACCTTCAGCCGCTATGTGAATCTCACACCCGGGTCACCATCGCCACTAGCTCGAGGACAACAAGCACCGCACACGGGTGTTGTTTTACCGGAGGCGTCGACTGGGATTGGCCGCACCAAACAGCAAGAGACAACTCAAGCCACCAACCAGCACCGAGTCAATTGGGCGGAAGAGCATCTTAATCGGCAACCACCCAGCGATCTTTGACCAACTCAATCGACACCTGCTGCTTTGGGCTCAACAGCGGCCCATCCATCACCGATGGAAACCACGTACTTGCCGGCCTTACCTAGAAACACGGTAGAGAACCAAACCTCGAGCGCTTACAGAGACACGACTCATCAACTACTAGCCACTCAGCCAAACACGGGGATGACAGCTGATTGAATTAAACTCTCAGACTTACCAAAATTTACGGGCAAGTTTGGTAAACCAGCCGATCTGTTTCACTGGAGAAACTTGATAGAGGAAACATTCGAAATCAAGAATCTTGTTGATGACCGCGAAAAATTGAAATTATTACAATCATTGTTGAACGATGAAGAAATGTTGTCATGGTACCAAGCCAACAAGGAGGAACTGAAACGTCAAACTTGGGAGGGTGCTATGGAATTGATGGCTATGGGAACCTTACCATACGCCTGGTTGACGGACACCAAAAATGCTCTCCGACGACTGGAAATCAAATCTGGAGAAACATTCGATCAATATGTGAAACGCGCTCAAGCTATACACCGACTTATCAAACCATTTGGGCAAGTTACCGATCGTCACCTAGCTCAACACATCACTTGGGGAGCACCGTTACTAGTTAAAGACTTGATAGAGAGGGAGAAACACTTACTGGCACAACCTTTCTCCTTCCCGGTCTTCAAGGACACAGCGGATGGAATCTATCGCTTTCTCATCAACAGTCGATTGCTACCGGACCCATTGGTGAAATCAAAGACAACTCCAGCTGTGGTGAACCACCCCGCGTCGGGAGCTAGTGGCGTACGATCTGCCCCACCCCCTCGGCAACGTTCAGACGAAGAACGTGCCAAAAATGCCTGGCGGTACCACGAATACCTGAGACAATCAGGTATATGCGCAACCTGTAAAGAGAAGTGTAATAACACCAACTGTACGCGCCGAAATAATCGTTTCTTATCTGTCCCAGCGGATTTCAATCCTGGACCAAGACCTCGACGAACACCTACTTCGACGACTACTGCGACGCCTGCCGGAGCGCCTACGCAACGACCCGCAGGACGACCGTCTGTCACGCCTGCTGTAACTCGTGTGGCGGCTATTGAAGACGTCGCGAACATGCTAGCAAGCGACATCGCGGCATATGAAGAGGCCGATCAGTTTCAAGCTACTCAAATAGAAGAACAGTCAAATGATGAATCAGGGTGCGTACCTTCAAAATCTGTGGCGCCCATCATTCTGGAACTGACTTGTAATGGGTGAACGGTTCGTGCTCTTATTGATTCAGGAGCCGGGGCGAACCTTTTATCCGACCAAATCGCCCGTGAGCTTAACATTCCTTGGAGGCCGTTAGTTGCACCAGTGGAGGTACGCCTCGCTATACCCACGGAAGGGACTCCTTTAGTCTTGAAAGAGTTTGTGATGGCTAACCTGAAGTGCGAAAATCCTAGCACACGCTTCGGGGCGGTTTCCTTCAAATTGGCACCTCTAAGTTCCTCATACGATATGATCCTTGGATCACCCTTCTTGACAAAATTCAAACTCGATATTTCACTTCACCGCCGTTGTGTATTACACTCACCAAGTGGGAAGGTTTATTATTAAAAAGAAATGCATTCAAGAATGAATAATGTGCTGTGTGCTATTGAAAATCTTCATAAGATTTGCAAGCCGCAAGACTTGAATGACCGTGAATCAAAAATTTTCAAAGAATTTGAGGACCTCTTCCCGGCTGAACTTCCTCCAGTGGAGGAAGAAGACATACCGGACGAAACATTCCCGGAAAGTCTACCGGATGTGAACAGACGAGCGAGACATAAGATTGTCCTGACTGATCCGAATGTTGTGATCAATGAAAAACAATTCGGATATCCACGAAAGCACCTGGAGTCTTGGAACAAGCTCCTGAATCAACATGTCAAGGCTGGACGACTCCGGCGATCTCAGAGCCAATACGCATCGCCGTCGATGATAATACCAAAAAAGGACCCTGCAGAATTACCCAGGTGGGTCTGCGATTACCGAACACTGAATAAATACACAGTGAAGGATCGTTCCCCACTACCAAATGTGGATGAAGCTGTGAGGTTAGTAGCAACAGGGAAGGTGTGGTCTGTAGTGGATCAAACCAACTCTTTCTTTCAGGATTGTATGCGGGAGGAGGACATCCCGCTGACGGCGGTGAAAACTCCGTGGGGTCTATATGAATGGACAGTAATGCCCATGGGGCTTACCAATGGTCCGGCCACACATCAGGCGCGAAACAAAGAGATTCTCGGTGAACTAGTAGGAAAAATCTGTGTTGTATATATTGATGACATCGTGATTTTTTCACAAACAATTGAAGAGCATGAAGACCACTTACGTCAGGTACTGGGGCGACTGCGTGCAGCCAAGTTATACTGCTTGGCCAAGAAAAGCAAACTTTTCAGACGAGAAATCAAATTTTTAGGTCACCAAATCAGTGAGGCAGGCATATGTCCTGATGATGAGAAAGTCGAGAAGATTTCAAAGTGGACTTCGCCAACCAATTCAAAACAACTCCTCAAGTTCTTAGGGACGGTCCAATGGATGAAGAAGTTTATTGATGGACTTTCTCATTATGTAGGCACATTGTCACCTTTAACAAGTACATCCTTGAAGGGAAAGCCTTTCCAGTGGGGGAAAGCAGAAGAATCAGCTTTTAACAATATCAAGAGACTCATTACAACGCTACCAGTCCTACGCAACCTCGACTACGATTCAGGAGAACCTCTCTGGTTGTTCACGGACGCCAGTGGGAACGGGTTAGGCGCAGCTCTGTTCCAAGGGATTGAATGGGAGACTGCATCCCCAATTGCTTATGAAAGCCGGACAATGAATCCTGCAGAAAAGAACTATCCAGTTCACGAACAGGAGCTCTTGGCGGTTATCAACGCACTCAACAAATGGCGCTTATTGTTACTAGGTATGCGGGTGAACGTGATGTCGGATCACCACTCCTTGACAACTCTTCTCAGCCAACGTAATCTCAGCCAACGACAAGCGCGTTGGCTGGAAACCTTGTCCCAATTTGACTTAGACTTCAAATACCTCAGAGGGGAAGACAACACAGTTGCGGATGCACTTTCAAGACAAGAAGAGGTGGCTGCTTATGAAACGGAGGCAAGGTTTAGAGACACTGAATTACATTCGATCCGGGAAGGTTACTTGCACGATGCCTTTTGCAAGAAACTTTGTAAGGTCTTGCCATTGAGAGAAGACACGATCATGAAAGAAGACCTCATGTACTTGGACGGCAGGCTTGTAATCCTGCTATATCAAAGCTTACGTAAAGATTTCATTGAGCAGGCGCACAACGCATTAGGACACTTAGGTACACAAAAAACGCTGGCTCGGTTACGTACTACGTTCTTTTGGCCAAGCATGGCGAGGGACGTAGAGGAGCAACTGCGTTCATGCGATTCATGTCAGCGAAACAAAGCCCGTACAACATCTACGGCTGGAAAACTTCAAAGCACGGCGGTACCTGATCAACCCATGCAATCCATAGCCATTGATTTCATCGGCCCATTCCCAAAGGTCGCGGGATACGACATGATACTTTCCTGTACGTGTAGGCTCACAGGATTTGTACGTCTGATTCCAGCTTCGCAACGAGACACTGCAGAGCGGTCAGCAAGCAGGCTATTCTCGGCCTGGTCTTCCATATTCGGCCTTCCCGAGTCAATCATTGGTGACCGGGACAAAGCCTGGACCTCTAAGTTCTGGCAACGCCTACACGAACTGTTAGGAGTACGTATCCAACTATCTACATCTTACCATCCACAAGCCGACGGCCGTAGCGAACGGTCTAACAAAACCGTGGGCCAAATTCTGAGACACTTCGCAGGCGAAAAGCACGGAAAGTGGCAGCAATCTTTACCACTGGCTGAGTTTGCCATCAATTCAGCGGTCAATGCTGCAACTGGTGTTTCCCCTTTTCATTTTTTCTACGGGCGGATTCCTCGTTTATTCCCTATAAAGACTCCATCTGAAACCAACACTGATGATGTCAAACACTGGATTCAGCGCAGGGAATCAGAGTGGGCCACCTGGCGAGACCGTCTTTGGTGTAGTCGCGTAGATCAAGCTCTGCAGTACAACCAACGGCAACGAGAAGGCACACCTTTTGCCGTCGGTGACTGGGTAATGGTCGACAGTGGTGACCGCCAGCAAGTCGTAGGGGGAAAAGGAAGACCAACGAGCAAACTCCAAGCGTGTTACGATGGACCTTATGAGGTCCAGGAAGTCTTAAACGCCGGTCGAGACTTTCGACTCCAGCTCCAATCCAATGACTCAACCCACCCAGTTTTTCACATTTTGAAATTGAAGTTGTATCATGGAAAGGGCGCCAATGAAGCCGATAGCAACGTTGCGGCCGTTGAGACGTTCTCGTCAGTTCGGAAAACCACCCCATACGGTCCTGGACAGGAGCCCTTGGGGCACGCTACAAAACGTGACGAGGGGGTGTGTATCTCAGTTGATACTTTAGCACCCCCGCAATGTGAGTGTGCAAATTCTTTTGATTTCAGTAGTAAAGAGGTGGTTGGAAAGCTTGTTCCCTTCCACAATAACAGGTCTTCACACGAAACGCACGAATCCTCACGAGAAACAATAATAAACACTCCGTACTGCAGTCACGAAGATGACTTTGTCATGGCCTAAAATAACCTCACTGGACCAAAAATTGGATGCCTTTGAGGCAAGCTAGGACATCAACAAGGGGGTGTGCATCATTTGCGCTAGCACCCCCGCAAGTGAGTTTGATAATTCTTTATATATCCACATGATTCAATGAAACAGCTAGCAAGCAGTTCCTTCTCCTACATAACAGATGCCACAGCAGAACACAAACAAGATCGAGGTCAACATTCTAATCACCAAACCGCAAGACACTGTATTCGATTAACTAACAGGCAATTAATCTAATGAGCAAGATTTACTACTTTACGCAACAAATGATTATCACACAAGACTGAAGATCAAGACCATTCATA